CAGTCAGACATTGAAGAAGAAAGTTCTTCCGTGGCTCTTCAAAGTCCCTGATGCCTTGCTTGTTTGACGATGGGATAACCAGGGGAACCTGATCAAAGTTCTCAAAGGGCAGCAACGTGTCACGGAGAAGAATCATCCGGTGGAGCCACTCATTGTAGAGTTGCATGAGTTGAGCATTGCTTCTTGGACCGAGTAAGAGTGCAGCAACAGCGGGGGTCCAAAGATGGCCTTCACATTGGCTGTAGAGCCTAATATTTTGGTCTGCTTCGCCTCCTTGCGGTGTGGATCTTGCGTGTTCAACAAGAGCATCGCCAATGACTTGAGCTTGGTTGGCGATTTCGCTTCGTGAGGTGTCACTTTTTCCGTATGACAATGGTAGAGTGGACTCTCGCCCAGTAACGGCCAGGCTAGCAGCTAAGCCGTCAACGAGGACATCCTTGGAAGACGGTTCTCCATCAATGTCCTCACCCAACGCGTGGACAATTGAGTTGAGCAACGGAGCTGTAACCTGAACGAGGTCGCGGGCGGTGTATATCCCGGGTGCCGGGTGGCATTGTTGTCGCTGGGCCGCGGTCTGTTGCGCGTTGTTCATCTTGGCTGACGCAAGAGACGGAATCTCGAAACCCAAGGCCAAGTCTTTGTATCCTGGAAGGAGGTATGGTTCGTAAGAGACTGAAGGCATGCTGAAAATGTAAGAGAGGACTCGACTCTTGAGGAGAAAGATGAGCGAGGACATGATTTTCGCGTGCTCACCTTGGAGTTGAGTGTTGAAAGGAGGCCGTTTTATCTGATTTCAGTCGTGCATCGTGGTCCCTGAGTTCCCTGAGAAGAGTATATGTTTCAGAATGACTGATTTCTACTACTCCTTAATGGCGTTATCGAATGGGAGAAGCATTTGCATTTCCTTGTAGGGAAATTGAGGGGGAAACGCAGACCACTGTCCTCCGATGGCCGAGCTGAAAAGCCAGAAAAGCAACCAAAGAGCCGCTCAAATGATGCCATGACCAGGTTCCTCCGAGAATGAGCAGTAAATCCACCTTGTCATGACCACAGTCCCCCGACTAACCACGGAGTTCCGTGGTCCTCTGACCCACTTACGACCATTCATGTCCGACGACCACGCAACTCCGAGGCTCTTCTCCTAGGCCAACCACAAAGCGGACAAGTGTACCATCTCGGTTCTTGATAGCACGGTCGAGTGCAATACGCCACAAAGAAAACGTGATGGTGCTAAACCACCAGGAAGGCTCAACAAGATCTGCTAGACTTGAATGCGAGATAGATCCAAGAGACGGCAACAGAGAGATAAAAGAAGCTGCGGTTCCTTCCAAGGCAATTTTTATTTTAGGCAACTCAATGCAATCAAGCTTCATCTTACTTGTTTCGAAGTTGTAAAAAGAACCTGCAAACAACCATGGCCCGGCCGCATCTCCCAGCATGGCTTCACGACAAAGGCCTTCGGTCACTGTACCTCTGGCTCCCAGTCGTCATCCTTAGTAGCTCCTATCAAGGATTCGACGGCATGATCATGAATGGGCTCCAGTTACTGCCTTCATGGCAGGAGGGTAAGTGATTGCATCGAGAAGAGACATTGTGTTTCGCCATGCTAACATGCCCAGAATTCGACTACCCCAAGGGCCCGGTCCTCGGTCTTCTAAACTCGATACAAACAGTTGGTGCAATGCTTGCCCTTCCAGCCATCACCCCCGTTGTCGACAAATTCGGCCGCCGCAAGTCCATCTTCTTCGGAGCTGCCTGGACCATCATCGGCGCCATCCTTCAGGCTTCTTCCAAGCAGATCCCCCAGTTTGTCATTTCGCGTTTCTTGATCGGCTTTGGGTTGGCTTTTACTGTTGTTGGTGCTCCACTCCTTCTGGCAGAGCTCGCTTTGCCCAAGCATCGCGGTGCCATCATCTCTTACTACCCGACTTGTTGGTACCTAGGCGCCATCATTGCGGCGTGGGTGACTTATGGGACTCACAAGATCGACAACGCTTGGTCTTGGAGAATCCCTAGTCTGCTTCAAGGTGTGCCAGCTTCCCTGCAGCTACTACTTATCTGGTTCGTCCCCGAAAGTCCTCGTTGGTTGATCTCCAAGGGTCGAGGCAAGGAAGCCAGGGATATCCTCGTCAAGCACCACGCCAATGGAAATGAACGAAGTTCTCTGGTCGAACTTGAGTATACTGAGATCAAGGAGCAAATTGAGAGTGATGCTTCTGTTAAGGCAAAGACCGGGTGGTTGGACCTTGTGCGAACCGCAGGCAACCGACGACGCCTGATCATTGTCTTCTTTGCCGGTCTTTTCATTGAGGTATGTGTTGAGCAAGCAAAACATGGCTTTGTCTAACGTTTTCTCTACCAGATTTCGGGCAATGGCCTTGTGCAATACTATCTTCACTCTGTCCTGTTGAGCATCGGTATCACCAACACGACAACTCAAGTCACCATCAACGGCTGCCTTTCCATCTACAACTTTGTTCTCGCCAGCATCGCTGCCTTGTTTGTCGAGAGGGTCGGTAGAAGAAAACTGTTTATTGCATCGACGGCTGGAATGTTTCTTGCCTTTATTCTCTGGACGACATTTGCCGCGCGCATGTTAACCCACACCCTTTCCTTCTGTTCACCTGAATTAACCGTTCTGCAGTCTTTACCACGCATGGCACTTCTGGATATGCCACTGGCGTTCTAGTCGCCATCTTCCTCAGCAACGGCGCCTACGATATCGGTTGGACCCCTCTGTGGGCTTACCCAGCCGAGATCCTGTCATACGACATTCGAGCTCGCGGCGTCACTTTTCAGACCGGCATCATGCACGCCTTTGGATTCTTTGGCACGTTTGTCAATCCAATTGGTCTACAGAATGTCGGGTGGAGATACTACATCGCTTACATTGTATACACGTTCATAGAGGTAAGACTTCTAATCTCGGTCTAACGGACTGTTGTTGACGTTGTGCTAGTTGGTTGTTGTCTGGTACTTTTTCGTCGAAACCAAGGGCTTTACTCTTGAAGAGATTGCAGTCATCTTTGATACGGAGGGCTTGACTTGGAAGCAGCGCCGCAACATGAAGCCCATTCCTCGTTCATCCGATTCGCTGGCGGCTTCAGAGAGTGGTGACCTGGATGCCAAGAACGCGGCTGCAGCAACTGAAAAGAGGGTTTCTGATGATAAGATCTAACAAGTATAAACCAGGGCGCTTAATTCAAGCTTGTCATGTAACTTGGATAGATAGTTGAGGCTTGGAAGCGGAGATGCTAGTCAGAATAAGCAGTCAGTTCAAATGCGCGTATGATGACAATATGCTTGTTTGCAAGGCCCTATTTATGTCCGGCATGACCTATCAGAAGCAGACCAGTTTTGGCCTAACAAAGCTGACATGTTGCGTAGTGCTTATGTCAGGTTGGATCTGACGGCATAAATAATTACCTACAAGCTGTCAGCTCTGCTCCTCTTTATTTCGAGACAATCACAACTTGATCAACACTACAACATACGACATCAATAATGGCTTCTGAACAAGAAAACATCTCCAAGTCTCAAAGCAAGAGTCTGCCGTTCCCCGAGTACTTCTCAGCCCTGGCCGCAAACTATGCTCAGCAAACAGGCAACAGCACGCGCACCGCGTTTAACCTGGTCTTTGATGACTTGAACGCCATCGAGCCCATCACCAAGGACTCGGTAGTTCACGATAATGCTGCGGGTCCCGGAACAGCCACCTCTGTCCTTGTCGACAGACTCCCTGCTGATGGCCTGCCAAGCATCTTAGTCACCGACAATGTGCCTCCAATGGTTCAGGCCGCTAAGGACTCGTTTACTACCTGGCCTACAATCGAGACTCGAGTGCTGGACTCACAAAACTTGGAGGGTATCCCCGACGACCACTTCACGCACAGCATCCTCAACTTTAGCGCCTTTACCTTTGCAGACCCCCTCAAGGGCCTCAAGGAGATTCACCGCACCTTGAAGTCGCCCGGTCTAGCCGCTCTTCTTGTGTGGAAGCGTTTCGGCGCTGGTGAGGTCATCCACGCGGCTCAAGCTCTCGTGAGACCCGATCTCCCTCCGATGAAGGTCCCCAACCCCCAGTTCTTTGAAGAAGGGTACCTACAAAAGGTCGCCGCCGAGGCTGGATTTGACCCTTCCAAGATGCAATTGTCGCAGTGGACTATTATTGTCAAGGGACCTGAATTAGACAATGGCCTGAAGAAGTTCATCCTGAGTGATTTTACGCGCCCTGCTCGCGCTGGATGGACGGATGAGGAGGTCAGCAGGTGGCCCGAGGCTGTTGACCAGGTGATTCAGAAGGAGATTGATGCTTATGGTGGTGTCAAGTTTGAGTCTTGGGTTGTTCTGGCTAGCAAGTAATGGGCGAGTCAAGATTAGAATACAAATGCATCATGGCTATTCATGTGTCATGTCTGTAACTGACCTTAACCATTGTGCACATTGCTCACCATCATGTCCGCGACCTGCTCCGCAAGCGCATACGTAGCGGCCTGATAGTGAGCGCCCAGCGGCATGGGGAAAACGCCGGCATCAACAACTCTCAAGCCTTCAACGCCCCTAACCCGACACTCGGCATCAACCACGGTCCCCATGGCACAAGTGCCGGAATAGTGAAAGACTGTGCTTCCTCCCTGCTTCACCCTCGCCGCCACAGCATCATCTGACAAGTCATCTCGAAGAGCTTCGTCGATAGTGTACTCGACTGCGTTTAGACCCTCAAGGTTCTTCATAGCGATGGTGGTTGAGCGTACGGCGTCGTATAGAATCTCCTTGTCAGTCGGCGAACTGAGAAGGCCCGGGTCGACAACTGGTTGATCAGCAGGGTCACTTGAGCTGAGCTTCACTGATCCTCTAGACAATGGGGAAGCCAGTATGTTGAAGACGCTCACGATGGACTCTCCTTCTGGAGGGTTGACCTTGATCGGGCGCTCAGAAGTGTCAAATGGTCCATACCTAAGGGATCAGTCAGCATCTTCAACCTGTATTAAGCGGAATACCTACATGGTGAAAGATTCCCAATGTGCCTTGCCCTCGGACAAGTAATATTTCTTCTCATCAGCGGCTAGATGCTCAGAGGCTGCCTCCAACGTCGAAACTTTTCCGCGGTGAAAAGCAATCCAATCCATCGGCGGTCCAGCAGTCCAGTCGCAAGTCTCGGTCACCATTGGTCCAATCCCGATGCTGGCATCCTTCTTGTTTACAGTCCACTTGCTAGAAACGCAAGGATGGTCGGATAGATTCTTTCCAACAGGGAGATCGGCTTTTATAAGGATACCATGCTTATCCAACTCTTCCTTTGGCCCAATTCCACTGATATTCTTAGTCTTGGAAATATCAGGTGTAATATTTTAACTCACCTCAATATTAAAAGCTTTGGAGAGAACAGGGCCCCAGCCGAGAGAATGATTTCGACATTGGCTGATACTCGGAACTCAGAAGCCATTCGACTTACTCCATCGCCGGAATATCGTATGCCAATGATTCTGGATGCACGCTGCTTCACAATGTCGATGTGGTGGACTTCACTTTCAGTCCAGACAGTGACATTGGGACCAAATAGGTAACCCTTGGCAGCGAATTGTCTCTGGCCATCATAGTTCGACTGTGCAACCTCTGTGTAACCTATTACACTACCAGCGTTGTTCTCGGGGATCAATTTCGCACCCATGGCCTCGTGAAAGCGGGTCATGTCCTGCCGGAGGGGGTAATCTCGAGGTTTACCAGAATTGCTTGGATGGGAGACCTATCGACATCAGCCACTTGTTAATTGTCTCATTTTCTCTTTGCTGCCTTGCCGTTATAGGTCCTTCGGTGCCATGAAAATCTTGACACTCCTTCTGCAAGCTTTTCTGAGTCGCTGACGGGATGAATGTCTCATTGGCCTTGAAGTACGGCAGCATCCCTTCCCAAGACCAGCGTCTGTCTCCAACAATCTCTGCCCACTGATCACTATGAGAATATTAGTATTAGATCCTTCTTAACAAACACACGCAGACGCACAAATCAACCGAAGCACCCCTGGTCCATGTCTCATAGTTAACGGCAGACGAGCCTCCCAAGATCAACCCCGAGGTTTGAGACACGGCAAGCCCCTCAAAGTTCGGTTGAGGAGTTGATAGAAGATCCGTATCAATGTCGGATCCAAAGCCTGGTGCAAAGCCTAGGGCTGGAGTGACTCGATCATCCTGAGCCACGCCGTGCTCGATGACGAGCAGAGATACGTTTGGGAGCGCCTTTGATATGCGACTAGCAAGCACGCAGCCTTTGTCGCATTAGTTCATTCTAAGGAAGGTTTCTCTTGGGTACTTGCCTGCAGTTCCTCCTCCCACGATGATATAGTCAAAGCTTTGTTCAGTCCGAGCCATGATGCCTTGTCAGAGAACACATAGGAGCTGAGCATACCGTCTCTACCAGGGATTATGACGCTGCCGAATAAACTCAAATTTGATGCTCAACGGACATAAGCAGATCAATATTCTCTTATCCCGCAAGAATAGATGCTAACTCCGTGTCATCGTCATTCCTTAGAATATCTGAGTGTGAGATTTTGGTGCCATCCGTGGCCGGGCCCGAGAAGTGGGGCAATCCGCGGACATGTCCGTGGTAGGCTCCGGACGCGTCAACCCTCGGATCTTACATGAGATGTAGCACTGCCACTTTGGTCAGACTTGGCCTTGAAGTTTGATTCGTTGTTTTTCAGGTGTAGATAGGTTTCACACGTTCTGGGTTAAGTCTAGGAACCTGGTACCCGCCAAGTTCTAGGGTAGCCACGTTGGAGCCAGCGGTCACACATACCAAGGCCGATAAACTGCAGAATCTTTGCAAAGTTTATTGTTATGCAATACCTAATCAGCAAGAGGAGTATTTCTTGCTTCATTTGTGTCATTTTTAGTCATCTAAAAGAATGGTTTTTTTGCTAAAGATAGAGCTTGGAGGTACCAGGGGCACAGATATCAGATATGCGAATTTGTGACGAGGAATATAGTCAAATAAATACGGTACTGTCCTACACGATCTCCTCAGGAACCATCATAGCTGATCAAGTCTCCATGGTAGAGACGGCATCAATCAACTTGTCCAATCCTGATACAACCCGCCCAACTTCGACGCCTGCATCCAGCCCTTCTGGGTCATCTCGCAGGTCGACATTTCCACCAGGGGTAACAGCAATGGCCCGGCCTGTTCACGTTAGTCTTGGTCAAACTTTAGAATCTAGATTAATATACCTTGAATACGTTGATCAACAGCACATCTCAACGCCGCATCGACAACATCATCAACCTTGGCGAACTGTATCTTGCCTTTCAGATGCTCGACTTGGGACTCCGTCATGGGAGTGGGAATGAACCACGGCGCAATCAAGTTAGAACGAATACCCAGTGCCTTGAGATCGTCTCGTGAATGCTTCCAAATTCCGCGGACAGCAAACTTGGTGGCGCCGTAAGCGGTGAACCGAGCTCCGGCGATGTAACCTCCAAGAGATGCCATGAAGATGAGGCCCTTCAGACGCGAAGACTCATATTCAGAATTAGGAGTCGGTCTGAAATAATGGGCCGCGAGCTTTGCAGTGTAGAAGGTTCCGGTGATGTTGACGTCGAAAACAGTAGTGGATGGCTCGGAGAGCTGTTCGCCCGCAACTGGAGTCGTCAGGTCGAGAAAGGTCTCGCTGAACACGGCCGCCGAGGGGATGACAACGTCGATGATGCGAGCCGGGCAGAAGAGGCTGGCACTCTCAAAGGCCTTGACCTGAGAAGCCCACGAGGTGACATCGGTATGGACGAATTGAACACTTGCCTGGTTAGCCCAGATTGCACCGCCCAGATGGGACAACTTACTTGTAACCCTCAGTGGTCAACTCGGCAGCATATTTCCCGCCGAGTTCCTGCTGAAGATCTGCGATAGTAACGTATGACCTAAAGAGAATAGATTAGTTATTTGGCTTTCCTTAATGACGAAGAGCATGTTGTTGCGCACCCAGCCTTTGCAAACGCCTTGGCCATGGCAGCGCCAAGACCTGAAGCGCCGCCTGTAATCAGGACCCCTCTGTCAGCCAGGTTGCTCAAGTCAAGCGGAGATTCAAGGTCGACCTTGCTCATGGTGAAAATAGCTGAAGATGAATTTTGGATATTATTTCAAGTGATATTGTTGTCAATATAGTCCAATATAGACTGATGTGCTTCAACTTATATACAACTTATACGCGTGGGCTCGGCGTGGTGTGGAGTCCACGCAACGGGTCCGGGCCACCATGGAGATGTCCGCGGACAAGCCCGGAGTGTCGATCATCAACTTCCACAAGCACAGCCCTTTCCTTTCTCCTTTAAACGTTATAAAAGATGCATCCGACACCTCAATTCTTTCGGTTTCAGATCAATTCAACACATTCAGCTTCGCCAGTAATCACCAATACCCACCACTAATACCATCACCACCCACAACCTCTCCACCAATCACGTACAAGTTTCCCATCTTCACCATGTCCTGCAACAACAAGACGGAAGAGTTTCACATCAGCGAGATTCCAAGCCTACATGGCTACGTGGCCATTGTCACCGGCGGTACGAAAATCCTCTCCTTTAAGCATTGCTTATCTAACTAACTCACTTAAGGTAACTCTGGCATTGGCCATGAGACAACTCTACAGCTCGCCAAGCGTGGCGCCCGTGTCTACATCGCCAGTCGATCGCAAGATCGCGTCAACAAGGCCATCTCCGACATGAAGCATGACGCAGGCCCTCTGGATCTTCACTTCCTCAAGCTAGATCTGCAAGATCTCCAGAGCGTCAAGGTCACTGCTGCCGAGTTTATGAGCAAAGAGCCTCGACTGGATCTCTTGATCAACAACGCTGGTGTAAGTCCCATGCTATCTCTCTACCAATCATCACTAACAGGCCCACCTCTAGATCATGGCGTGCCCATACGAGCTGACCAAGGACGGCTTCGAGATCCAGTGGCAGACCTGCTTCCTTTCTCACCATGCTCTCACCCTGTCGCTTCTACCAGTCCTGCTCGCTGCAGTTCAGGCTAGCGGTGACATGAACCGTGTCCGAGTGGTCAATGTCGCCAGTGACGGTGCATTCCTCATGGGACCAAAGAGCATCAACTATGACGACCCCAACATGACGAGCCTGACGGGTGCAACAGCGCCGTGGTGAGAAAAGCTCTTGAATCATGCTACCATCATAAAATGTTCTAACTGTGAGTCAGGAGGAGATATGGCCACTGCAAGCAAGCCAGCATCATCGGCGCCAAGGCAATCACCGACCACTACCGACCGAGCGGCATCATGGCGTTCTCGGTGCACCCCGGCATCATCAAGTCGAACCTACAGAGTTACGACGCCAGTTTTCTCGGAATCTTGACCCGCACGGCCGTCAAGATTGCTCCCACGTCTACTCCCCTAGATGGCGCACGAACTTCGCTGTTCTGCGCAACGAGCCCCAGGGCGGTTTCAGCAGCCGGTCTTTACTTGATTCCTTTCGGCAAGGTCGATCCCAGGGCCAACAGGTGGTTGAATGACGATGAGGCGGTTGAGAAGCTGTGGCAGTTGGCTAGCAGTCAGCTCAAGAGGCATGGGTTTGCTATCGAGGATTTGCCCAAGTATTCTGTTTGAGTTTCCGGAAAGTGCTGTATGATAGACGGGGAGCATTGCATTTGTTGTCTTAACTATCTGATATCAGAAGCTAGTTAGTGTTTGGTAGATTTACTCGTATTCGCTTGGCCTTTGGCCCTTTAGTTATAGATTGTTTCTTTGTATCTACAGGATGTTTCATACAACGGAACCCGCTTTTGCTACAAACGATAGATGTTCTTTCCTCACTGACTGAGTTGTCAATTTCTTGGCAAGCAATTCATCATTGAACATTCATCACGTGACCGTCAGCGTCGCTATGGAGTACGCGTTAATATCATGGCGAGTCAGACTGACACTGACGTTCTTCCACAGTGGTGTTGTTTGCAGTATTGCACCCTCGGACAGAAAATAACAACATCAAGAAACATGCAGCCAGCCCGAGGCATTCTATCCTGTTCATCTTGTCGACAGAGAAAGTAGGCCTTCCTTCCATCAACGTCTCGAGCTTCCTAATCAGATCCTAGGCTGAAATGTGATCGAGAAGAACCATGTAGCAACTGCGTCACCAGAAATGTCAGCTGCGTATACCAAGCATGGCCTAGAGGGAGGGCCCCCGTCGCCCAAAGGCGCGATACGGTTCAAGTGAATCAACAGTTGGATGCGCGCGTACGCCAGCTCGAGCAGCTTCTCGGTAACATCGTCTCTCAGATGCCCGGTGATCGTCAGGTTGCGACCTCTCAGAGTTCTGGTGACGTTGCTAGTTCGGAGAATATAATCCCTAGTGGAACCTCTCCTCAACACCTGGCCTTGGGTTCTCCTCCTAATAGGGAGCTCGAGGTCAAGCCTGGTCGGATGGTGTCGAGCAACACTGAGATGATATACGTCTCAGGCAGTCACTGGACAGCAATATGCACTGAGGTGATAGATTTACTACTTTTTTTGGCCTTATTACTTTGTTAACAGAGGGCATTTACTTACACTCGATAGGTTGAGAAAATCAGAGAGCACCTTGATCGAGGCGACGCCGCTGCGCAAGTGGACGACCAAGACCCGAGCCAAAGCGACGGACCCATGCTTCTTGAAGGCGTAGGGCAAATATCAGATATTGAAACTATCATGGCCGACATTCCACCAAAGGATGTAGTCGACAGACTTGTCTCTCGCTACTTCAACTCCACAGAACCATCAACCAGTGAGTGAACAGGGAGGAGTACATACTGGCCATGAACTAACTTTGGTCAAGTTGTCTTTCACGCGCCGACTTTCGAGCAAGAGGTATAAATCCTCCTAAACCACAAACACTTGGTACTAATGATATCCAGTATAAGCAGTTCTGGCTCGACCCAAAAGGCGCTTCTCTTCAGTGGGTTGCCATACTCTTTGGCGTCATGGAGATGGGGGTGTTTCTATACATGCGGGTTCAAGACGACCTGCCGGGAGATTTGGGCAACCCCAAAGACCTCATGGAGCTGTTCCATCGCCGTTCCACCGAGTGTCTCTTGCTGTCCAAATACTCGACTGCCCCTGGCATCTACTCGTTGGAGGCTCTTTTGTTCAACATCCAGGGTGAATTCATACGACGTCGAGATGCCCATCTGGGCGTGTGGATCCTAGGTGGTGTTGCTATCCGTCTGGCGATGCGGATGGGATATCACCGTGATCCTGACAAGCACCCTCGTATCACGCCCTTCCAAGGCGAGATGCGACGTCGGACATGGGCGCTCGTTTTACAACTTGATATCTTGACCTCGTGCCAGCTCGGGCTACCTTGTTTAATACAGGAACATCAATGCGATACACGACCTCCAAGCAACCTTCTCGATGACGACTTTGGTCCTCATTCAGCTCAGCTTCCTCCCCCGCGACCCGAGACACAAATGACCCCCGTCTTGTACACCATCACAAAACTAAAGCTATCCTCCGTCTTCCGGACGATATTCAACCAGGTCTCTCTGGGGAGGACAGAAGCATACGACGAGATCATGGCACTGGACCAGCGGCTCCACAGTGCGCAGCGAGCCATGCCTCCCAAGTTTCACATGGCCAACCCGGAAGACTCCATCACTGAAGCCCCTTACATTCTGATCCGGCGCTACAACATGGAGCTCCTATTCCAAAAGTCGCGGTGCATGCTCCACCGCCATCACATGGCCAAGGCCTACCAAGATCCTGCCTTCAATTACTCGAGGACTTCCTGCGTCGAGGCAGCCATGGCACTCCTAACGCATCAAGCCAACATCTCCAAAGAGATTCAAGTCGGAGGGCGGTTGTACCGGGATAGATGGTTTGTCTCTTCCTTGGAACAACACGATTTTTCTTTGGCGTCGATGATCATCTGCCTCGAGCTCAGTTCACGATCCAACGAGCAATCCAACCCTCCAGCACCAGATGATCAACAGGGTTTCTTAATGTTTAGTCGGGAAGCTATGGTTGAGGCTCTAGAAAGCTCTCGCCGCTTCTGGGAAGCTTTCAAGGTGGGTTCTAATGAGGCACGGCAGGCTTTTGACATGCTCTCAGTCATGTTAGACAAAGTCTCGACGAATCCAAGCGTTCAGGAGAACCCGCAGCTTCCAACGGCCCTGGACATAACCGATGCACTTCAGGCTCAAATTTCAAACAGTGGTTAGTAGATCGGTTGTTTGAGAGAGAAGCGACTAACACGTGGGTGAAGCTCTTTTACAACAGCAAGCAAACACAGGCGTACAGGCAAACTCCTTTGATGCAAATATGCCCGAGATTGGGGCCATGCTAAACTGTCCAGACATTGACAATTGGGTATGCGCATAGTTTCTCCTGCATGTCCCATCACTCAACTAACACCATGTCATTAGGAACTATGGGAGGCACTTGTGCAAAGTCCTCATCGAATGGAAGAGCTTCAATATCAAGATCCATAGAACTAAACACCAAGAATTCCCATCGTCTATTTAACTTTGTTGCTGTAGTTGGTTAATATACGGATTGATGCATATTGCGGTTAGAATGTCTCACCGTCTTGGTCATCATTTAGGTACCTAGTTGTGCACTTTCAGGATCTCCCCGCTTCTTCTTAACAACTACAAACAATAAAGCTATCTCACAAAAGTCGCTTTGCCCAATCCTCGTATCAAGTCCTCAGCACCGCGCCCGATGCCCCTTGAAACGGCCCATCAGGCGTGTCGTGCCTGTCGGTATTAGTCCTGGCGTGAGTGTGGGGAGATCAGCACTGACATCAAACGTTACACAGGCGCCTAAAGAGAAGATGCACAAAAGACTTGCCTTCGTGTTCTTTGGTGTGTAAGCAATAACGTTGTGCTTTATCATTGCTAACGCAGTCAGTGCATCCGTCTTCACAAGTTGTGCGAATACCCCGAAGGAGCCATCACAAACACCATCACCCACACAGCCGTGGATGATAGACTCCGCCATCTCGAGCAACTGCTCAACGTGAACAGCATCTCCCCTCCCGAAGCTTCCAGATCCCCAACTCTCGAAGTCTTCTCATCTATTCAAGGCCCTACAAGCAGCTTCCCTCTTCCTTTCTTCCTGGACAATGACCTCTTTGCGCCCCTTCGAGAGAATGCTCTAGCTCAAAGCACACAGTCCTCTCTGCCACATACATGCTTGGAATACCTTGGTCATGACCCCATGGAGAGTGTTTCAGCCTACTTTTCGACTATTCACACGTGGCTGCCTATGATTAGCAGAAAGCGACTGGTCTTCGAACTCAACGCCCAGTCTCCTGACGACTCTTGCCTCATGCTACTCGTCCTCTGCATCAAACTCTGCATAATGGACACCGAGCATCAACCAAAAGAGCTTCCTTTATATGCAGTGGCAAGATCTTTATGCTCGGCGGCTGAGGCAGGAGGCTTTGTCTCTTTACGCCTACTGCAGTCTTTGGTACTTCTGGCTGTCTATGAGCTCTCTCACGCCATATACCCTGCTGCATTCCTTACTCTCAGTCGCGCAGCCAGACTCGGCATGCTGATGGGCTTCCATGATAGAAAAGATGCTCAGCAACTATTTAAGCCTGCCGAAACATGGACCCTTAGAGAAGAGCAACGCAGGACGTGGTGGGCAATCTTTATCCTAGACAGGTAAGACCATATGAATTCTAGGCCCTCACAGGAGTGGTATCAGCACGTTATGGCTTTCTAACTCTTGACAGGTTTGTCAACATCGATAGCTCTTTACCACCTGCGACGCCAGAGCCGTGTCAGAGTGAGCTACTCCCTGTCAACGACATCGACTGGGACAACGGGACGGTGGTACCCAGCGAGCCGCTATACACACAGTCTTTTAGCTCGGTTACAACAGTTGGTTCATATGCGAAGACCTGTCAGGCTGCTCATATGCTCAGCAAGGTCATGCGCCACGCGAAAGCGAGGGCATCATCGCAAGACATTACAGAGCTCCTACCAGAAGCACAGCACCTTCATCAGGCTCTATCAGCCCTTCATCTGTCTATCAAGGGCACAGATAGCGACAGAACGTCATCGCAGGCTCCAGAGTCTTCCGCGTTCCCAGCACTCGCCTTGTGCTGCTCTGCAAGGCTCGTATTGTACAACCAGTACGCCTGCAACGAACCTTTGGGACTCTCCACAAACGGACATATCGCTCTAGAGACGGAGCTGCAAAAGGTCGGCTTGGAAGGTATTAGAGCGATATCGTCTTCTACAGCCCGTCTAGTAGCGCGAGATACGGGAGGGTGTCCGTTTGTCGCCCGGTTTCTCTATCATGCAGCGACTGAGTGCGCGTGGTTCATCAAAGAGAATCACGAGCAAATCATGTATGATGCGCTGGAGGACATTCTCAATGGGCTTCGTAGTATGTCGGAGCATTGGGGACTTGCAAGTAAGTATAAACTGGTCAACTATTAGGACATCATTGCTAATGCCATCCAGGAGAGTACATCTCGTTGCTCGAGCAAGAGCAAGTCCTCAAACTCGCCGACCAAGATGCAGACGTTTCTAGCTCCACATCAACGTTCTAAACATGTTTTCATTTCGAATCTCAATACATTGCGATGGATGTTTAAGCGCATGGTCATTAGGCCAACCTATCATCCGCTCCATCGAATCTATCTTCAGCTTCCCACGTTGGTTAAGCTTGCGATACGTGCCATCCTAGCATACCCTTGTTGCAACTGCTCCAATCTTTCGCCATACAGCCCGTAGCAGTCAGATCCCAGTTGGACTCGCAGGGCCTTGTCTGTGCCATTCTCACTCCATATTCCCTCAAACAGTCCTCGTCTTTCCACAGCGTCAACAACCCTCAAGCCAAACAGCTTTGGGTCTCCATTCACTATAGTCGGATCCTTTGCTGCTGCATCGATGATGCCATTCCATTCTTCCATCTTGTCCCTGTAATCTTCTGTGATTCCACCGTCTGGCTTGAGGTGGTTGCCAGGGAATTTTGTCCGAAAACCTCCAGGCTCAATGATCATCGTCCTAATGCCAAATGGTGCAAGCAACTGAGCATAGGACTCTGTCAGAGACTCTGCAGTCGCTTTGGCGGCACTGTACATCATGTGCTCAGGCTTGCTGACGAAGCCCCAAATAGAAGAGATGGAGATCAGTGTGCCAGTCCGATGGCGACGCATGGCGGGTATCAAGGCTCTCCAGATTCGAATGAGGCCGAATAAGTTGGTCTGCAAATATTGCGAGATCTGGTCATCGCTCATGTCTTCAACAGTCCCGAGCAGTGTGTTCCCAGCATTGTTGACGACCACCCAGTGTGTCAGCTCCTGCTGGTTGAGTCGTTCCTCGCGGACAACGAGTTGCTTAACAACTCCCTCAGCATACGGACTAGATACATCTAGCTGTAGCCATTCGCCGCCGAGTTGCTCAAACTCTGGGTTGTCGAGGGCGGCTTTATGGGTGTTGCGGCCTGTGCCGATGACCCTGTGGCCGGCGCGGAGGGCGGAGAGGGCCATCTCAAGACCGAGGCCAGATGAAGCCCCGGTAATGAGCCAAGTTTTGTTTCTTGTGGTATTGAACGCCATATTTTGGGACGTGGGTGTCGAGTGTTTGAGTGACTCCGTTGGTGATTGGTAGTGTTGGGCTCTTCGTGTCGATGGGGCACTGGACGATCCAAGAGTGCTTTCACTCATTAACATTGAGTCACGCCGGCTATTATAGACCCAGGTTTCTCGGCGGTATTCCTACGTCATATGCTTCCAACCCGTACGCCGAGTTGGAGCTATCGTGCCGCACCCGCTCTCATCCGCCTCCGCTTCAACTGCCGCTGCCGCTGCCGCTGTGGACAAGTGCATCAATTCTTGGGCGTTTTCAACCCTTGCTACCCAAAACTCTCTCACGCCGCGTCAATTTATGGAGCTAGTGACTTTATCAAGAGTGCAACGTGTCGTTAAGGCGAGCGGATCGGCCGTGATTTGCAGGAGCGGCATCGAGCGGACATGAGCGGACGAGGCCGCTCGGGTCCGCTCGATTGAAGAGGGGGCATTCTTGGTGTTCAGGGCGGTTGATGAGCGATCAGTGTTTTCTCTTAATCATTCATTGATGGGTCAAGAGACTAATTGACTCACATGCTGAACTGCCGAGGTGCCGTTGGGAGATCAAGGATGGTATAAATAACGGCCAAAGCGGCCATCCATGAAACCGAACCCCCGTATCAATCCCTGGCATCTCATCTCTTGTCCAACTGAGAAACATCTTCAAAATGGCACCTCTTGTCTGGCTTGTCACTGGCTGCTCCTCCGGATTTGGTCGAATCTTTGCTCAGCAAATCCTGAGTCGTGGGGATCATGTCATTGCCACAGCTCGTAGGGTCGAGACACTTGACGACCTCAGCAAAGCTGGCGCTTCTGTCATGAAGCTGGACGTCACCGACGATCAAGATGACATCGGCGACACCATTCAAAAGGCCATGAGCATCCACGGTCGCATTGACGTCCTTGTCAACAACGCTGGCTTCATCCTAGGGGGTGCATGGGAAGATCTCTCGCAAGTCACATCCTTACACGCAAAAGGCTTCCGCTAACACTTCGCAGAGACAAACAATTCCGTCAGGCTTTCGAGACAAACGTCTTTGGCGTTCTGAAAGTCACCAAGGCTCTGCTCCCCCATTTCAGAGAGCGTCGCGCCGGCACCAACGTCTTCATCAGCTCCCTCTCTGGATTCCACGGCTACGAGTTCAACGCCGGGTACTCGGGCACCAAGTTTGCGCTCGAAGGTAAGATACCTAACGCTCTAAGCAAAGGCTTATTTCTGACACGCATTAGGCATGGCTGAGAGCTTGTGGAGGGAGACGACGCACTTTGGCATCCGGACTCTGATAGTCGAGCCGGGCCAGTTCAGGACCGAACTCCTGTCCAGCACGAATCTCAAGAATGAACCGTCCAAGATTCCAGACTATGCCCAGCGGTCCAAGGATTTCGATGAGTACTTGGCCAACAGGAGCGGGCATCAGGCTGGAGACCCCGAGAAGGGTGTCGCGATTGTACTTGACCTTGTGCGGGGTGAGGGAGTTGCCGAGGGAAGGGAGATGCCGCTCAGGATTGCTCTTGGAGCGGACGGATATGAGGTTGTGAAGAATAAGTGCGACGAGACGTTGAAGATCCTGGAGGATTGGAAGGATGTTAGCTGCAGCACCGATTTTGACACATAAAAACAGGCTAGCGGTCGATGACCTCTTATAGAGATGCTATGATGATGAACAACAAAAAGGGACCACATAGTTTGCAAAGAGTCATTGAGTTCCATGGCAGTGGCAAGCGCGAGGACCATGTCACCTGAAGGTCTCCATCAGCATCTCCCTTGTCGATACCATGGCAATCAATTGCATGTAAGTAAATGTCTTGGAGATTATGAGTAGATTCTTTAATAAGTGTTTGACAACGACCTCATGTTGGATGAGTCTTGCTTAACATCTGGTCTTCCAGCACATCCTTGCTCTACACAAGCCGCGAGCATCGTGGCACGTCTACCTCATCTTTTCCCGGGGACAAGTCCCTATTTCGTGCCCATCACCAACTCCCTAGATTTCCAACCATCCCTCCAAAATAACGTTATATCTTGCATCTCATCCCCTCACAACGCCACGGGTTCAACAGTTCCTCCACCCCGGCTCATGCAGCCCTGGCTCTTAAACCCACTAAACCCGTTGTATTGCCCCGATCCCGTCAGCCACTCGGTAGCTTATTGTCCCTGCGGCAAACCCTCCGGCCCAATCACGCCCCGCCGGACTTTGCGGAGCGAGCGGACAAGGAGCGGACGTGGCGTTCTAGCGAGCGGGGGGGGAGCGGGAATGGTGACATGCGAACCCGATGTGGGCTTGACGAATGTGGTAATTCTGTGTTTGAACTTGTGGATTGAGTGTGTAATCGCGATGGTAACTATGGGTTGTATCGTGGTAAAGATCCAAGTTGTCATAAGCCTCCGCTCGGTACCTAGCCCCGGTGCTGTGTTGGAGCGCTAACAGGATGAGCCTAACGATGGTGGAATGATGCCATGATCTGTTATACTTATATGTGCTGAGTACGTTATCTACCGATGTAGCTTCATGTGCGATCATTAACACCTAATACAAATGACTGTAATGTACTTGTATCCCCTGTTGCGACCCGGAGGCTTATTACACCTCATGGGATAGTCATCAACTAGACAAGAGACATATAAGAGGGCCACGGCCTCAAGAAATTGTATACAACTCATCTACTACTCAGTCCATCCAACATCCTCACAACAATCTCAATACATCACAACCTTCAAAATGTCCTCTCAAAAGCTCATCGTCATCCTCGGAGCCACTGGCAACCAAGGCGGCTCCGTTGCAACCACGTTCCTCCAAGACCCTGACTGGAAAGTCCGCGCCCTGACCCGAAATGCCTCAAGCGCCAAAGCTCAAGCCCTCGCATCTCGCGGTGCTGAAGTCGTCGAGGCAGATATTGACAAGCCGTCTACTCTCACGGCTGCATTTAAGGACGCCAACACCATCTTTGCCGTCAGCGACTTTTGGGGTCTGTACGGAGACCCTGCCAACAAGGAAAAGGCCAAGCCGGGGCAGGCTCTTAATGAGTGGGCTGGTGAACATGAGACGCAGCAGCTCAAGAACGTCATCGATGAGGCTGCCAAGGTCTCGACTCTTGAGCGGCTCATCATCTCTTCTCTCTCGGATGCGACAAGGTGGTCCCAGGGAAAGTACACGCACGTATACCACTTTGACTCCAAGGCCAGGGCTGTTGTGTATGCGGAGAAGACCTACCCCGAGCTTTGGGCCAAGACCAGTGTCTATCAGGCAGGTCTCTTCCTAAGCAACTTTGTCCAGAACCCCCTTACCCAACCTATCAAGGCAAGTAATCCACCCCCTACGGCCCACAAGCATTATTAACATGCTTAGAATGCCGACGGAGTTGTCCAGTTCATCGGACACATCGAACAAGACGTCAAGCTCCCTTTCATCGCTGCCGAAGAAGACTCCGGCCCCTTTGTCAAGGCTCTCCTGCAGCAACCCGCAGGCGTCAACCTCATCGGCTACAGAGAATGGATCTCTCCCCGCGAGGCTGCTGATGCGCTTACGAGGGTCACGGGTCTCAAGACAGAAGTCGTCACCCTCCCCAAGGGCCATTTCCCTCCTGGCATTCCTGAAGACTTGAAGGCTGAGCTTGAGGATAACTTTGCTTACTTTAATGAGTTTGGTTACGAGGGCAGAGATGATCCTAGTCTGACTCATCCCCGAGACGTAGGTTTACCCACCAAGTGTTGCGGATGGCTGCTTATATCAGATTTAGTTGAAGTTTCCCCCATCCCTTGAGACCTCTGAGGACTATTTCAAGAAGCAGGATTGGAACAAGGTCTTTGGTGCTTGAGAAATGGGAAGAAGTTCTCCTTGGGAAGCGAGATACGGGCGTGGCTGTCAAAGACCTCAGTTGCCGCTCATCTTCTCTTTAGAAAGGACTAGATAGTGTTAATTTCACGAAATGGGTACACAGTTCAAGGGGTCACATCAGGTTCTGTCACAACAACTTGCTTGCTGTATTCGCTCGCCTACCCACCATTCCATCCCAGTCTATTGAATCACCCCTTCACCAGCTCAAGGGCCGAAACCACCACCTCAAGGTATCCAAGATTGATGGTCTATACTTGTTCGACAAGCCCCAAAGGTCATTCAAGAGCCATAACATCCCCCAGAGGCTTAGTCACCACCGCCGGGCTCATCCTCGATGATGTAACCCTTCCGGATCGATCCATCGCCTCGAAAGAGGACAGACCCCTCCTAGGTAGCCAGTCTCTGCAGTCGATCAAACAGAGGAGTGCCCCAGCCAGTGATGGGATCCCATCCCTTGACCGCTTTCCAACCAGCACTGGGGATTACGGGCGAAGGAAGTCCGAGGTAGCTCTCACCCGTGCACCCTACAGACTTGCCTTGGGTGATGCTAAACACTGTTAGGGGTTTATCAAGACATAATGGGAAGGGCACCTACTCGGTGAAGCCTGCTTTGCCAGTCTTGTAGAGCCAGGGGTTCAGGAAACCCATTGGGGGCTTACCCTTCTTGAATCTCTCATTGTTGATGAGAGCAATCATGGCGCCAAATGTCGGAGCTGCGACGCTGTATCCTATGTCAGCACCCATGTCGCCAGGTTCGTACAGAACCACAGGCAAGTAAACATACCTTGTTCCGCCACCAAAAGTCTGGTTGCCGCGGAGCATGATCTGATGGTTCCATGCAAGAGCCGCCACATCTGGGTAAGCTCTACCATTGGCGTTGTAGTATCCCTTCCACTCGTTGCCATGCTTCCTGAGGTATTCTTTCACAGTCTGTTCTTGCCACCAAGGACGCGAGAAAACTTCCGAAAAGCCACCGCTGGATCGGTTCCAGGCGATTTCAGGGCTATTTCCCTCTGTGCCACCCACAGAGGTCACGTAGGGGCATGCGCCTGGGAATGTAGGGAGGAACTTTTTCTTATTCTTGCCGTCGTTGGGCTTGCAAGAGAAGCCTGGGCCCGTGTTGCCAGCGGCTGCAATCACTGATACGCCGCGAGTGCCAAGTTGGCCAAACATGTTGCAGACCTGGCGAGCATAGGACTTTGAGATGTGCTGCTCATTCGATCCATATGAGAGAGAGATGACTTTGGGGAGGTTCGAGTTAGGGAGGTTGAGGAGGTATTGCAGAAGTTCGAGCCAGGGTTCGGGGTACTGTCTGTTGGTCGCATTGATCGCCTGAAAGCTATTTTGATGTTAGCCCCAGCAATAGTTTTACATCCAACTGCACTTACTCGAGATCGGGGACGAGGTTTGGGTTCATACCCCCAACAGAGATGAAACGAACAGGAACCTTGTCCGCGAGTGCAACGGCGTACTGAATATCCATGTTGGCTTCGATTTGAGCAACGTTGAAGGATTGCTGGTTCAGTCCTCCATTGACAAGAGAGACGGAGAAGTTGGCTCCCTTCAAGTCGGGCGCAAACCGTTTGAGAAACTCTTCAAGGTCGGAAAACTGGGCATTTTGCTACACAAATTATGTCAGGGTAAACGCGTCTCAAAGGTACAAGGTAACTTACTTCAAGGAAGCCAACGATGCCGTACTCCGACTTTCGGTGCGCACTGGGATAGCTGCGCAACGGCATCTTGTAGATCTTCCGCAGGCATGCTGGGGTGAGCTGTGCCTTGCACTGTTGCAGGTCAATTGGTCCATTACCACCATGGTTGCCGTCGTTGTTGTTGCCGTAGGCCCTCGCCTCGACGGCTTCCTCCCTCTTCTCCAAGGCAGTCAAGTCCTCAACGGCGCGTGCCTTTTTCTCGGTGGGGAAGAAGGTCGTAGGCTGAATGGTGGTGATGTGATCGCGGACCTCGATGGGGACTGAGTATTCTCTCGTTCTGACAACTTGCTCATCGTCGCGAGCAAAGATACCAAAGCGGGTGCTGAGAAGACTATCGGCCTGGCCAACCGTGGTGCGAATATGAAGCCACTGGCCTTCGTCACGGACATGGTGCTCTGGCACTCCGGCATCGGAGAGCCAGCGCTTAACGGAGTCCGTAGCAGCGCGAGAAGGATGGAGCAGGGCTTTGGCGGCATCGCGAGAGAGGTGCTTGCCATAGTTGGCATGAGAAGGGTCCGAGATTTCGCTGAGAGTGCGCTCGAGAAGGAAGTGATCCTCGGACTCGAGGCCGATGGAGAATTCAATAGGCTTGTCGGGGGCAGGAGAGCTGGATTCCTCCCAACCCTCAGGAGTCTCGTCCAGTGATTCAACCACGACAGGTCTTGCAACAGCTGTCGCAGTGAGGAGGAGAAACCCCCAAGTTTTGAGAAGGCTGATAGCCATCATGGCTTGAAAGTTGTAGTGTCAAAGATGGTGTAAAGGTTGATGTTGCTCGTCAAGATGATCTTGCGAGCTTGTCTTGTGCTCAACACCACTCCTGCACATCGACAGTCTTTATATCCTCAACTCAGCAACAACATGATATCGGATATCTCTTTTTTCGATATAATACCCTTGCTCCAATCGCAAGCCGTATTGTAGTTGTGGCTGCTCTTCTGCCCAATCCGGCAGGTGGCTGTAGAGAACAATACTAAGCCATGTCTTGATATTGTTCGTGGCACGCACCACCAACAGCAATCCAACGGTCCCGACAGCCTGGGCCGAAGCGTAATTTCACCTCAGCCATGTGTAAGGGATTCCTCCATTGGTGCCACGACCTTCTTCATTGCGAACAGTGGTTGCCTGATTTGGGAACGTCTGGATTGTGGCTGTCAGATGGGGGATTCCTTGTCCACGGGGATGCTTTTCTAGAAGAACGGGTAGAAACCACACGTTGGTGCGCGACATCCGGGTATAGCATGGAATGTGATTTCCCCGTTACACAAGCACCGAACTGGGCTCTCGTATCGTCGTACCGCAACAGTTGAGTTTCGCCATCTCGTTTGAGTGTAGAGTCAGTTCAGCCCTGTAATCAGGCCAGGAACGTGATCACTCCTTCGCGAACGTCATCAAGAGGTTCTTGCAAAAGCAAATACAGTCTCCTCTGGTTGTTCCAGGCCGACCTGTTGGCCCTGTCCAATTCCACCCTGCAGCCCACCCTCAATATTTGCGCAAGCTATGGCCTCAGCTGAAGAGGCCAGCATATCCGAGCTTCGACTGTGTCCAGTTATGTTGAAGTTCATGGTGTTGTTGTAACTGGGTGGCACGCTATGACTTGTCATGTGGTGTACCTGAGCCCAATGTTTCGGCTGTTGGTCCATCAAGATCTTGGTTGCTTGGCCCGTATTGGGAATGTTGCCAGCCGTGTAGTTGCGGGAATAGTGGCACACTCTTGTCATAACTGAGTCGCTAAGTGAGAAACAGAGCCAATGACGCTTTCGCCGACGCACGGAATGCTCGCTAGTAGATCTCTCACAACCAGCAGTGTCTTAGGAGCATCGGATGACGGGCCGCTCTTCAGCGGGATCCAATGGCTTCGTACTGAGCAGTATGTATCCTGTTCGCCAAGTAATAAGGCCTCACTCAAAAGGTGCATCGCGTATATTTCGCTCGATCCGGTATCCGCGAGGGGATTGACGTCGCTCTCCGACAGCAGTTGTCATGGATCAGCACCCCTTGAGACAGGTGGGAAATGGACGAGGTCTTCATGCTGTCAGTCAAAAGGTCACAAGCACACAGGAACTGGAGGCCCTGACTCTGTGCGCTGGAGCTTGGATCCATCACGGAAGCCGTCACCAGTCACAAGGCTCGTCAGTCAGAGCTTATCCCTCCGCCTTGGCCGCGACATCGTGGGTACCGAAGACATTGTGGAGAGTTGCACACCGCTGTACCACGTCCCACTGTGGTCTCTGTTAGCACAAGTCCAAAGGCCATGCGATTGGAGAGGTCTCTTGATCCGAGTACCTCCACATGAAGAAGCGACATGATGGTGGATACGAAGTCTCAGGGAGAGAGGAAATGAGATCCCAGACAGAGCAGATATTAAAATGTCCTATTCCGAGAGTACATAGCCATAGGAAAACAACAGCAATACGAAGAAAAAAAAAAGAAAAAAAGGGATCTAAAGTATCACCTTTTCTTAGGATATCTCTTTAGGGACACGGAGAGGCGCACTGGATCAGGCTGAACGATGAATGTTGCTGTGGGCCAAGTCTTGATGGAGTCTGTAGCTTTTGCGCTTGGTATCAGGGCGCAAATTGTGATTGGTATTGCCCGGAGATAGGCTATTGCAACCGAAATTCGAGTGGGAAGTTTGTCAATTCTGAGAGTCTGCCGCTTGATGCAGGGTAATCTTGCTTGCGTTGGTGTTGTTGAAGGAGCATGTTTGACGGGAAGCAGTCGCGGTGAAGCAGAGGGCTCTAGATGCCTACCCACACACTGATGGCCGAGAGCTGTAATTCCAAGAAACTCGAAAGAACTTGAGGCACAGATGATATCAAGCCATCATTTACTGCTACTTGACTGCATGTTGGATACTACCAGCAACGAAGCATTCACAGTCCTTGCCCATGCATCTCCAGCTGCAGCCTCAGGTTTCCTTCTGTGAAGTCCCGCCTTCCCTCACCGTAAGGCCCGCAGCCTGCCCGCCAAGTGGACCCCAAATCTCCCAGCAGGCAGCACACCAGCCTCCCAATTCCCTCTCCCCTCATTGGCCCAAATTCTGCCACCACACAATCAGCAGCCCCCCTCACCGCCCTAAAAATCCTCTATAAAACATCGCCCTCCCTCCCGTCGTTTTACTTCTTTTTCCTTTCTCCTTAGCTCTCTTTGCCTTTTGGCTTAGATCAAGTGTAGTATCTGTTCTTTTCAGTTTAATCTCTGAAAGGTCTCTAAGGAGACCAATCGTGATTATTCCTATTTTTGAACCTCGGGCAGTTTCCTCTGTGCTTGCACATAATTCCGCCCACAGTGTCCCTGGTATTACACTGCCTCCAGGCGACGCGAACACTTGTTGAGCTCACGCTTTTCATTACTTGCTCAGGCTTGCCTGGGTAGTGAAGAAGACCGTATTGTGACCCATTTGATGCCATGATGCTTTGAATTGCTGCTCGTGGACGTTAGAATCCTTTGAACGTGCTAGTGTGAAATAAACAGCTGCGGCCAACCTGTGTAATCTAGAATTCATCTCGAAAGTGCCCATCATCAGCCTCCTACTCCAACTCTCCACGAGGTAAAACAATCTTCTCGCTCCCATATCCCTAGCGTAAACCAAAACACCTCCAAACCAAAACAGAGCCTCATCCGCAGAGCCTCACCCACTTTCAACAACAAAGCCAGCCGCCGCCATGTCCTCCGAAAACCCCCTCCTCGATCCCTCCATCTTCGCCCACCTCCAGGAGAAGATTGATGAGGAGACCCGCGTCCGTGATAACCTCACCCAGATCATTCAGCGCCTCGAGCGCGCCGTCGCTACCGCACAGGGCTTGCTCTCGCGCGTCCACTCCACGCCCCGCGCCCGCTGTCAGTTTTTTTTTTTTTGCCATCATCCTCCGCCTTGTCTGTGATACACTGCTAAGACCAGTAATGTGCTAGACCCTGCCCTTGTGTCCCAGGTCGAGGATGCCATCAAGGAGGAGGTCACCATCGTGGGGGAGCTTAGTGCTGTTGCCAGCCAGCATCCCTACTACAAGTAGGTTTGCCCAGTCCACCAGCTGAAAAGCATCAAAATTTGACCCAACCGCACAGGTACAACGGCAAGTGGGCTAGAACCGTCCAAAACGCCATTGGCACCGTCGTCTACACTGCCTGGCTCGGCGGCCTGGGCTCAGACTCACAGCCCGCCTCCCTTGGCCGTCTTCTCACGCTCGAGCAAGTCGGTGCCGTCTTCCAAGGTGCGCCACCCATGCAAACAAAGAAAACCCCCCAACTGACCTCCCCCAAGTCCCAACCAACCTGAAGGACCGTGATGCCTTCCACCTCACCATCGAAGAGTACCTCCTCTCCCTGACGGACCTGACTAATGAGCTCGCCCGTCTGGCCCCCAACGCCGTCACCCACGGTGACTTTGAGCTGCCCCTCGTTATTAGCGGGTTCATCAAGGACCTGTTCGCTGGGTTCCAGCTGCTGAACCTCAAGAACGACATTCTGCGAAAGCGCGCGGATGCCGTCAAGTATGACGTCAAGAGGGTTGAGGACGTCGTCTATGACCTGAGCCTGCGTGGTCTGGTCAAGAGAGCTGGCGAGGGTGACACCGAGATGGCTGCTGCCGAGTAAACCACCAGATTCCAAATGGACATGATATCAAATGGTTAAAAAGTTAGATGGTCATCATTGATCGACTCAATCAAAATCTGCACTGTTCAGTTTGCTACTTGCCTCCCTGTGAAAACACCTTTACACGCACATGCACGACAATGTTCTTAGAATACGTAGGTAACATAGAAACGTCTATTCTCCGTAGAAAGCGCTCAAGGCGCCAATGCATCAGAAACCATTCAGCCCCCTATCACTGGGCTAACGATATGGAGTTCATGCGAGTTTTGTTTACAATAATATACACCATGTTCCTCTTCCCAACCCCCCAAATGCATGTCTCGCCAGACGACCATCGCAGGCGAGTTGACGCCACAGTACTTTTGTTCAGTCGTGTCTAAACGTGCACTTGTCTCCTCGGGCACATTTGCCCTGCTGCCAGAATGTGCAAGGCTTTGTCCCTATTAGTGCTTTGTTTGCTGGTTTGTGCGGCGGCAGGGTGCCTCGCTTTCTTCGGCCATCTTTCCCTTCGCGGTCACCCCTGCCTCCATGGTGATCGTCACGGTTCCGGTCATGGTCACGGTCTCTGTCGTGCATGCGGTCCCGGTCCCACTCCCTATCTCTATCGCGTTCTCGGTCTCTATCCCGCTCCCAGTCCCGTTCCGCCGCTGGAGGCGGGGGTGGAGCAGCTTGTTGCCCTTGGGCCATCTGGCTGAGCATCATGTACTGCTGGTAAGATGGATCGTTCGGGTTCAAATACGAAGCAGAATTCGAGGCTGGAGCCTGCGCTGGCTGCTGTGATGGCTGATTGATAGCCGCCAAGATCGATTGAAGCTGACTGTCAGGAATCTGCCCCTGTTGTTGGGGCGTTGCACTGGCTTGTTGTTGAGCCGGTTGCTGGCCACCAGTCATCTGCTGCAGCAGAGCCATGTACGGGGCATATGCTTGCTGCTGCGCATAGTATGCTGCCCAGTCCTGAGGGTTGGCCGGGGGTTGGCCAGGTGCAGCAGTTGGTGCAGTGGTCCGCAAGGCGTTGGTTTCAGCTTCGGTTCTGGCCCGTTCTTCATCCGCTCTCTTTTGTCGTGCCATCATCTCTTTGTTGTAGCCCATTTGCCACTCGCGAACCTTCTCTGGATCATGCAGAATCCACTCTGGAGGAGATGTGGCTGGAGCTGGTTTGTTGGCCAAGTTCTTAGCTACGCCTTCAATAGCGCCTCCACAAAGACGAGTAGCTGTATCAGCGTAATGATAAGTACGCCAAACATCGGTCGTCGCTGGAGCAGGATCCCGCCAGTTCTTAACTTTGTCGGATCTGAGCAGCGTGAGAACCTGTTCTGCAGCTGCATTACCGGCGACAATAGGCAAATTCTCACTCGCCGTGCCATGGCTTTGCTGAGGCAAGGAACCAGACTGTGAAGACGATGAGGGGTTTGAAGGCGCACCCCGGAGGCGGCCCAAGATCGAGTCGAGGCGGTTTGACGGGTTCTCCTTGGCATCGATACGCTGGATTGCCGAGTATAGAGCCCCGTCGATCCCCATTTGCTGCTCATCGCGCCACCGAAGCTGGATCTCTTGAAACTTGGCATCGTCCGGCAAATATTGAGTTTTCCGGTCACTGCTACCGACCATCTCCGGTGGAGGAGACTTGGGTGTTGGTGGAATGTCGTCTGGATCGGTGTAGATGGCCATGAGTTCACGCTGTTCCCTCTCCGCAATGCGCTGCTGCTCATCCGTGGTGAAGGTGACGTTTCCTCCCCGGTTAACAAAGTTCTTGTTTCGGGTGTCATCTGGTAGTCTCGAGAAGTCGGTCGCAACAGGTCCGACCCAAGGCTGATACGGAATATCATCGTCCTCATCCTCATCATCCACGTTTGCACGTTGCTTGAGGACCATTCCTTCAGACCGATCATCACCAGCATCGCGAATCATGTTGACCTCTCTGCCTTCATCCTCAGCCTCTTCCTTGTGGAAGATCTTGACCTGAACAAGTTCACTCTCAGGCTTCCAGCTGACCCGGAGCTTGCGGCGAGCTTCCTTGCGAAGACGCTTGGCCTTTTCTTCCGGCGTCTCAGACGTTTCAGGACCATTGGTTTCCTTAGGAGCAGCCGGAGACTCGACCTTGGGGGCATTGATTGAATCAAGAAGCGAAGCAATGCCAGATGACAAGGAGCTCGCTGCCGATGACGAGCCGTTCTGCGGCGCATGCGGCTTGGGCTCGCTGCGTGGTGTCTTGGGAGCTGTCTTGGGCTTGTCGTCTGCTGTCGACTTATTCTCTACCTTAGGCTCAGGCTTCGGTGCAGACTTGGCCACGGGCCTGGATTTGCCAGGCAGGATGGAAGCTGCTGCCGCTTTCGCCGCAGTCGTCTTGGATGCCGATTGAAGTTGAATCTTAGGCTGCGCAAGCTTCCTACTAAGAGAGTTGCCGCTTGATTCTATCGCAATCTTCTTCACAGTCCGTGTGTCGCCCTCTTCGTCCCGGCCGCGCTTGGCAGAGTGATCATTCCCAGACTTGGAGGTCTTTGCTCTGCTAGCAGCCGAGGTTCCCTGGTACCCAGTGGCCGTCTCTGGTTCGGACGCCTTGAGCTTCTTGATCTTGGCAGATATCTCCTGGGTGAGCTCCTTGACCTCGGCATCGCCCTTGTCGGCAAACCTTTTCCTCACCGTCTCGAAGTTTGTTGTTTCGGCAATCTTCTTCGTCATGGGGAAATGGGTAAAAAGCTCGAGGACAATCTTTGGGAATTTCCCAGAGAAGTCACTCGATTTGATACACATGATCAATGCATTCACCAGACTCAGAACCAACTTCTGGTGGCCGCCGAGGTTATCCAGAACCGCGTCGTCCGCATGATCGATAGTAGCATCCAAAGCTCGATAGAGAATCTCCTTCTTCCTCTCAAACTCCTGTCGGAACTTGGAAACCTCAGACTCAGCCTCCTTGTCCTTGATGGCTTGGTCGAGCTCTTGCTTGGCGCGATTCATCTCACCACGAAGCTTGATAAAGTATTCGCCCGCTTGTTGCACACGGCCTGCGATGAGCGCATTCGTCCTTGCAACAGGCTGCTCTACGTGAACTATCCCAATGGTGTCCCATGCAGCAGCATCAGCAGGGTCTGTTGGACGGGTAGCAGAGCGGATCTGAATCTTGTTAGATAAATGTCTTTTGGCGGGATGCAACTCTAGACTTACTGGTTTGTTGCGCACCTCCTCCAGTTCCCTCTTTGCCTTCTTCTCCGCCTTGTTCTTGGAAGCTTCGTCCGACTTGAGTTGCTCTTTGAAAGCGTGAGGGTATTCGGTATACTTGGGACGTCGTTTACCAAGCCCCTTCATAGCACGATCGAATTCATCCAACAACACCTTGGCCTCGATCCGCCTCTCATCCAGCCCGCCCTTATCGGGAGAAGGACGATATTGACTTGTGAACCGACCCTGAACCTCACAAGGGAGGCTGTATCCAAGCTCGGGAACCATTTGTCGTCCGCTGCGGGCGGGAACAGCGACAAGTGGAGCAAGCTTGTCGTAGCTTTTGGGAGCGGGAAGCTTCGTTGCTCCATCATAGATTAGATACGGGAGACCCTTGATAGCGGGATGCTTTGCTTGGGCGGCCTTGGGCCGTTTGTTGAACTGGGCAATCAGCTGCGCATCTTCGGGCGAGGGTGTTGGTGCTGCCAATGTATCGACATCATCCACCTTCCTTAGAGCAGGAGACCCAACCGGCGAGTCGGCATGGACCGATGCAGGCTCCGGCGTCGGCGTTTCGGGGGCGCTCTTAGCTGCCCGCTTCCTCTTCTTTGCCGGAGGTTCTGTTACGTTGGGTTGAGAGACGCCTGCGTCTTGTTCCAGGACCGCCTGTTGCATCATGTACTGGGGAGTTGCAGCAGGTGGTGGTGAAGAGTTGGTCATAAAGGGCGGTTGTTGTTGATGCACAGGCTGCTGGAAGTTTTGGTTTGGCATCGGTTGAGTAGTCTGCGAATAGGCAAGGGGCTGTTTGGGAGCATATTGTGCTTGGGAGTATGGTTGAGGCTGCTGTGTTTGTTGCTGCTGGGGCTGGTGTGGTGGCTGGGTTGGCTGCTGGCGCGCCTGTTGATGAGATTGTTGAAAGTTGAGCTGTTCGTTCGATGGAGGCTGAGGGGTCTGGCCATTCACTGGAGGAGAGAATGCAGCTTGGCTATATGACTGCTGGTTTTGGACAGGAGACTGCTGAGGCGGTCGGCTGAAACCGTGTCCATGGGCGAAAGCGCCAGGAAGACCCTCAAACTGCTGAACAGGAGTATGACTTTGTTGTCGGCTCGGTTGAGGTATTACGTGAGGCTGAGCATACTGCTGTATCGGGGATTCGAAGGAGGGTTCGTTGGGTTGAACCATACCATATGAAAATGTAGAAGAATGAGGATGGTTCGAAAGCTGGCCAACGCCAGCCATGGCATTGTCCAGGTCGATCTTGCCATGTTGACCATACAGATCCGAATGAATATCGCTGAAGGCTGGATCCATCACATCTTGAGAGGGCTGCGAGAACTGCTGGTTCAATCCCAGCGAATCATGCCCTGCATGATAATTGCCTTGGTTCTGTTGTGACCCATGAAGACCACTGGTGAGAAACGAGTTATTCTGATCAGAGTCGAAAAAGTTGGGCGGAGAAGCATCCTGAGGGTTGATGTGAGAGTACGCAGCTTGATCAGTCATGGGCTGAGACCAAGCCTGGTGAGGATCATATTGTCCATTTTGACCAGTGAAGGCATAGTTATTATGCCATTGCTGCGTCTCATCAGTGCCATTCTGGCCATTGTTGGACCAGGATTGCATCTTGCAACAGGGCGATAATTGAGGCGGCAGCCGCCAGGGCAGCAACGCAGCCTCAAAGATCAATTAATGGCAGTTATAGAGGCTAACGCATGTTGTTAGCGATCATCGCTATGGGCTGATTGTGTGGACGCGTGGACGAAAGCGAGCGATGGATGCAATGCGGGAGAGACCCGGTTCAGAAGATGCAAAGGGTGTGGTGGGCTTAGATAGGCGTTGATGTAGACATGTTTACAGCCAGTGGCTGTTGATCAGGAGACGGGAGGAGAAAGTACTGACACACAGAGAGTCGCTGCAGGGAGACCTGGTGTGGACTTCTCCTGTTAGCGGAGGATGTCCGGCTACCAAAGGCTGCAGGTTACCCACCATAAAACGACGCTAGGCGGCAACGGGAGCGATGACAAGGGTCCAGGCGGGAAGTGTTGAAAAAGGCAATGAATCTGTTGAAAGCAAATGAAAACCATCAGCGAGTCTGGTAAAACAAAAATGAGTGGTGGTAGGTATGAAGAATGATTGTTGGATCAAAGAAGAATATTGTAGACTGGGTTCCTGTCAATAGTTAAGGCGCGAGCGAGCGAATGAATAAAGGACCGCCAGCAGAGACCGCCAACAAATGCTGAACCATTTTGAACCACGGTCGGACAAAGGCTCGAGCGCAGCCAGTTGGGCGACAAAGAAGACCCGGAAAACGGGATGGAGAAGCTGGATGCCAAATTAATGAGCTGGCTTTTGTCGACAGAGCTTTGCTTCTTGTGGCGATGGAATTGCCTTGCTCGTCGAGGCGTGGCATTGTAGAAAGATTTCTGATGGTGGGGCCACTGAACTGATCTCTGGATGCGTGCGCCTCCATTTAGCGTAGTCCCTGCTGCTGAGCCTGAGCCTGAGCCTGAGCCTGAGCCTGAGCCTGCCTGCGAGACTGTCGCGGCCTTGGCCGTTCTGGTGGTGCTGGCAACCTGAATGTTATCACCCGGCCCCCTGCACCAGGTCGCCCGACCAAGGCCTGCAACGTCGCAGAAGGACGCTCGCTCAATGGCTGGCGCGCCTTTTCCTGACTCTGGATGCCCTCTTTTTATCAAACACTCGCCCGCGGCTTAGGTGCGCGTTCGCATCTAGGTTCGCCAGATTGCAGATACCTGGATTTCGTCACTGCGCTCAAGCCTGGAAGTCATGGTTACCCAGCCGCCGCAGCTTAGCTCTCTGCTGCTGCAGAGGCAAAGACGACGCTGAGAAGCCTTTATCTCCAAAGCGAGTCTCCGCAGTGGTGGTCACCAGCTCCTCATCTTGCAATTTTAAATGCTGCAGATTCCGAGTGGTTGATTCCATTCTTCATAGAGAAATCACAAGATACAATGCTGCTTCTTTGATTCATGGTGATGGCGCAACAAGCCGCGAAGAATGACGCGACAGAGGTGATTGAGCGTGTTGTGGAGGGGAAGGGGGGATGGGGTTAAGGATTGGGCATACCCTGTGATTCAGACAAAGGATGGATTCGATTCCGTGAGCAACTTGATCCGTCTTCCTACCCGCGTGGTGCAGAGAAAACCTGTCCCATCTGTATATTGCGCAAGTCGCTCGCCGCTTACAACATTATCGAACCGTAGGCGTGTCCTGTCGGGGAGGCAAATGATGATGGATAGCACAAGGGCGACACGCCGAGGTCTGTCAGAGCAATGTGCAGGCAGCAGACGCAGGCTAGATGAAGGACGTGAACGCGGAAGAATCGAATCGAAATCTTAAGCGCCACCAGTATCTACCGGCGCAGTTCGTCTGCCGAGCGCCGACGCTGCGTGCTGTCGCGATGAGTGATGCCGGCGTGCGGTTGTTGATGGAGTGTCGTCGAGAGTAGGTAGAAAAAGAAGTCCTGGCGGCTTCTCAACTGAGGACCAAGACGTGTTGGAGGATGGCCCCATTTCTCAGGCACACACAACCATTTGGTCTCAGGCATGGCCCCACTCGTGTCTCAAGCACGGAGAACGGACAGGCCGCGCCTGCGCCTTGGCCTGCTCCCCTGGAACCTGGAAGTCAGAAGTGCCTGCCTCTGTTTGTGCCCCAACCATCGGCCCTTGAATCGGTCCGTGCTCCAGCTTGCGCGCCGTCGGGAGCTATCAACTGAGCGCCTGGCAACTACTGTACGGTATCGTGGCCTCAAGTTGGTATTAAAACATCACGGCCCTTGACGTGAGGATTCGGCTTGGCGCTTTGCAAGTAAGCTTTTCGTCTGCATAGGGTCAAATCTTCTTCATTGCTTTTTTTGCGCACCCCCTTGACATTAGGGTGGTCGATATCTTCGCCCTTTCCAGGAGAGCTCCTGAACTGCGCATCCCACTATCATCACCGCTTTGAGCTCCAACCTTGCCGACGTCATCTGCCACCATGGCCACCAAAGGGAACTCCCTGCGCGATCGCCAAATAGGTTTGTTATGAAACTCATATCTCTATTGCTTCTATGTTAACAATATTCTAGCTTCTCTCAAGAAGATCCTCAACCTCAACGAGACGGTCGAGTCAGCCGAAGCCGACGAAGCGCTCGCAAACGGTCTGCTTGCCCCCGTCGCTCCCATTCTCGATGCCGACGGCAACCCCATCTGGAAGGTGTTGGTGTTTGATGATCTGGGCCGAGATGTCATCAGCAGTGTGATGCGTGTCAGTGACCTGCGGTCAATGGGTGTGACCATGCACATGTAGGTCAGTCAAGCGCATTCTTAGACAGTCAACTAACATGATGCGCAGGCACATTGGCGGCTCCAGACACCCAATCCCAGACGTCCCTGTCATCTATCTTCTCGAACCGAATGCGAAGAACCTCGAGGCCATCACTTCGGACTTGCAAAAGGGATTATACTCGCCAGCCTACATCAACTTCCTCTCCTCCCTGCCCCGCGTCCTTCTCGAGGAGTTTGCGACACAGACAGCAGCCGCCGGAACTTCAGAGCACATCTCCCAGCTGTTCGACCAATATCTCAACTTCATCGTTGCCGAGCCGGACCTGTTTAGCTTGGGAATGCAGAACGAGCACACGTATTGGGCTTTGAATAGTGCAGCAACAAGTGATGCCGAGCTTGACCGGGTGGTGGATAGGATCGTGAGCGGCCTCTTCAGTGTTGTTGTCACTATGGGTATGATACTTGGCGAATATTATTGCCGTGTAAGAAGCTAATTGTCTTTGCAGGCGTTATCCCCATCATTCGATGCCCCAAGGGCGCCGCGGCGGAGATGGTCGCTGCACGACTCGACCGCAAACTTCGAGATCACATCCTCAACTCCAAGGACAACCTATTCTCGGGTCCTCGACCAACCGCATCTTCTGGCACACCTTCCTCCCGACCCGTCCTAATTCTTCTCGACCGCAATGTTGACTTGATACCCATGCTGTCGCATTCTTGGACCTACCAGTCCTTGGTTCATGATGTTCTTAACATGAAGCTGAACCGAATCACGATCGAGGCTCCGGTGGAAGAGGTAAACCCAGCACGAGGCACATCGAAAAAGGGCTACGACCTGACGGCAAGCGACTTCTTCTGGGCCAAGAACGCTGGCAGCCCGTTCCCACAGGTGGCAGAGGATATTGACGCCGAATTAACCAAGTATAAGGAGGATACGGCTTCGATTACGAAAAAGACGGGAGTGACTGATCTGGAGGACCTCCAGAACGATACAAGCGCAAGCGCCCAACACCTCAAGGCGGCGATAACGTTGCTTCCCGAGATGAGAGAGCGCAAGGGCATCCTCGACATGCACATGAACATCCTGGCAGCCTTGTTGACAGGTATCAAGGACCGCCAACTGGACAACTACTTCCAACTCGAAGAGGGCATTGTCAAGCAGACTAAGGCCCAGATCATGGAGATCATCAAGGACGACAACAAGGGCACTGACCCTGTCGACAAGCTGCGACTGTTCGTCATCTGGTACCTGAGCACCGAACAGGAGGTCGGCCGAGTGGAATTTGAAGGCATGGAAAAGGCTCTCGCAGAAGCAGGCGCAGATGTCTCGTCTCTACCCTACGTCCGACAGTAAGAATTTCTGGTTCAGGTTCTTCATTCATACTTGCTAACAGATAACCAGGGTTCGAGCGACCACCAAGATGACACAACTGACAACCATCAACAACACAACTCAGCCAGCCCAATCGTCAGACCTCTTTGGGCGATTCTCTTCGATGTCATCCCGCCTCACTGATCGCCTCAAGGAATCCGGCGTACCCACCGGTCTATCTTCCAACTTTGAGAGTCTCATCAGCGGCGTCAAGAACTTCCTTCCTGCCGATCGTGATTTTACTGTTACCAAGATCGTTGAGTCGATTATGGATCCTTCATCGGCTTCTTCGTCTGCCATCGCCAAGACGGAGCACTACCTCTACTTTGATCCTCGATCCGCCAACGCTCGAGGTACCATGCCTCCCCCAAGTGCGGTGCGTTCCGGGGCGGGAGCTAGCACACCAGGTGGCATGCCAGGATCACAAGCACCCGGACAGACGGCCAGCTTTGGTCAGCGCCGACAGGGGTTTAGCGAGGCAGTGGTGTTTACCGTTGGCGGTGGAAGCATGGACGAATATGGAAACTTGCAAGAGTGGGTAGGCCGAGCTGGAGGAGACAAGGCCAAGAAGAGGGTCGTTTATGGCAGCACTGAAATGGTGAATGCCGCAGAATTCATTGCACAAGAGCTGGACAGGTTAGGAAAGGAGGTGGCATCGTGATACTCTTGATTGTTTGAGAATAGATTAATGAATCCTGTCTTGGTATGGTCAGGGTGATTGGGCTTGTTGGAGCCTTTGAATCGTGACATGATTCAAGGATACAAAAAATTCATTGGAAATTTCAGCTTAAGGCAATGTTTGCGTATAACATAGCTTATTCCGTGTCGCATGAAGCATTCGTGATTCTATGACCATGTCGGGAAAACGATGATCCGAGGTCGGCTCGTTGGATCGCCCTGACTCCATCCAGACGTCACCAATTGGAAGGACCTAGAGTCAGGGCGCCCTTGCGGTTGCTTCAGTGGAAGGAACCTAAGCTACGTACCGATCCGAGAACAACACCTCAGGTCCCGTCCAGTGCGAAGGCGCCCCCAAATCAAATCTCGATAGCTGGCAAAACCCTTCTCTCCTCCATTGCTTCTCATCAGCATTTAGTGCATCGCCAACTCGAGTCCCCCATCCAGCCTCCACGCGTCCAAGCACATCCTTCAACACCATCTCCATTGAGACGTCGCGTTTTCCCCATCCCGGTCGCGTCCAAAGAGCCGCTCACCATGGACGAGGCCCCCATCAAGGCCGAGGGCGGCACCCGCCATCGCGCCGGCTACAAGTCGTACAAGAAGAAGTACAGAAAGATGCGCATCGTCTTTGACCAGAAGATGCATGATGGCGAGGAGCTACACAAGCAAGAGGATAAGGCGGCTGCGCTCGTGAAGCGCCTGGCCGTGGAGAATGAGTAGGTCATCACTCAATAACCCTCAGCCTTGCGCGCATCATCGCTGACCTGTCCCCTTTCTTCTTTGACAGCCGCCTATTGGACATATTACTCGAAATCAACAACTCGCCTCAAATCCCCCCCGAAAAGCAGATCGACCTCGCACTCGAGCCCTCGTCTGACCCCAAGGCATTGGTACTGCCCCTGGATCGAGACCATACGGACCGAAAGGAAAAGCCAGGGAAGAAACTTGAAGATCTCATCAATGGCGTGCCGCATTCATCATACACCAATGCTAAGGAAACCCTACCGTCCATCATCAGCGAGCTGAAGGCCCCTGAAGGCGAATCGCATCCTTCCGATTTTCTCTCCGCCGACGACATTGACAACTACATCTATGAACTCGACACCAGCATCGATCCAGAATCAACCATCCCAACGCTCGCTCCCCGCGCGCATCCAAACACACACCAGCCTACGAACCCACATCTGAAGAACCCAACTAGCGTAACTAACTGGCTACGCAAGCACGCTCCGAAGATCTTCCTACAGGACGGCGAAACTCACGGCGATGCTGATGATGGCGAAGGCGGCCACACTGGAGGACGTAAGACACGAGGCACTCGGGGCGAGCGCGGTGGTCGGGCCAGCACAAGAGGTAAACGTGTCAGCGCCGCAGCTCGCGCCTCAGCAGCAGCAGATCGCGGCGACTGGGACGCCAGCATGGACGAGGACCCTGACTTTGCTTCAACACCCGTGGGCAGAGGCAAGCGCAAGAGGAACGATGACGATACCGGCTACAAACCTCGCGGTTCGTCGACACGACCGAGTAAGAAGAAGCGTAAGAGCGAAGTCGACGGAACGCCCAGTGTGCGCAAGTCCAAGAAGGAGGCTGCTGCGGCCCGGGACGACTAGTCCCACGCCAGCAGGTTCTAAATATGGCCCTTTGCTCTTTTTCCTCTCTGGGTGGTTTTGTTCTTGAAGCGAAAATAGCCGCCTGATGAAAGAGAGACTGAGCTTGTGGCCTTTGTATTACTACCTTTCAAACCATTAACCATGGACAGCATCCGGCATGTACACATCTGCCAGGGCAAGGTACATACTGCCATAATTCCAAATGCCATGCCCTCCACACCGCGGCGGATACCCGGCCAGCCGGGCCATCCAGATCGGGACAACCCGGAGACTCACCGGGCATACGGGGATATCAACCTCATCACTGAAACCCGCCTACGCTAGCCCCCGAGGGGGCATTTTCCATTATCCATCTACACGTGCGGTCTTAAGCCGAGGCATTCCTTTGCGAAGGGGGGAAAACAAACAACAAATGACTGGGAGGGGAGGGGAGGGGAGGGGGGAAACAGGGGAACCGGGGTTTCTGTTTGGGTGAACTTTGTGGGCTTTTTTGGGGATTTCTAGATTCATCTGCATTTTCCTTACAGGGGTTGCTTGGGCTCGATGCCAGGCTACGGACAAATACCGAAGTTTGACAAGACCACAAGAAGCAAAAGAGGCGTTCGGGCGGCATCTAGGGGCACAGCTACATCCTCATGTACATGTGAGAGAGGTGCGGGACGAACAAGAGGGCCCAATGGTTTTGCTTCAAAGCAACTACTTTTGGCTTTGGCGTTGGTCGTATGACTCCTCTGACCCCCTTCTCCCGCTACCAAGAGGGCTAGGAGCAGCGCGCTGTGTCATAATGTACGTATTCACAATGGGACAACAGGGAACAAGAACGAGGTCGGTATCCAGGGATTGGAGTCTGCAAAAAAAAACTATAAAGCAGGGCTTGGTAGCCCATCTTATCTTTATGTACCCAAGAGCAACCAGGAGTCTTCTATCTACATTGCCTGCTTGCTTGTCTTCCAATACATGACACACGAAATTCAGTCGTGCCGTCCCCCTCGAAACCCTTTTCTTTCTTTATCCAAAAGCCCGTTCGTTTCGTTTCCTTATCATATCATAGTAACGATGGAGGTATACTCTGCATGATTCGCTGCCTTGTTGCCCGTGTTCATACAGGGGAATCTTCATGTGCATGTTTGCTCCTTGACGATGCCGACTTCATGCAAGCCGGCGAGGCATTGCAATCGACAACCACGAAAGAGACGATGCTCTCTCGCTCGCCGAGAAGCCGAGGTTCGATGCTGGCCAGCCACTAACAACACGTCCGACGCCGATTCTCATATCCTTCATGAAAGAAATGGCGACTCTTGTGGGTGGAAAAGAGAGACCAAGAGAGTGAGGAGGATTTGGGGATGTGTGAGGGGGTGAATAGGGGGTGCGGGGAGGAGGAGAGAAGTTGTCAAGACATTTACAGCTTCTCCTTGAGGATGTTCTTCATGCGGCGCTCAACAGCGTTGAGGTACTCGGTGGTGGTGACATAGTCCTCACGGCCGGTCTTGCCGCAGGCAAGGGCAAGATCCTTGGTCATGACACCATCAATATCGACAGTGTCAATGCAGGCCTGCTCGAGGCTCTCGGCGAAGGAGACAACCTCGGGCTGGTCGTCGAGCTTGCCACGCTGGATGAGACCACGGGTCCAGGCGAAGATGGAGGCAATGGGGTTGGTGGAGGTCTCGTTGCCCTTCTGGTGCTCACGGTAGTGGCGAGTGACGGTGCCATGGGCAGCCTCAGACTCGAAGGTCTTGCCATCGGGGGTGATGAGGACCGAGGTCATGAGACCAAGGGAGCCGAAGCCCTGAGCGACAATGTCGGACTGGACATCACCGTCGTAGTCTGGGAGCTATGTCAGTTGCTATACTTGGAGGACGTCGAGTGACGAATCAATTGAATCGCGTCAAGCGACATGGATCCACGAGTTCGCACAAGTGTGCAGCATCAAGGGGAAGACTCACTCTTGAGGGCCATGATGTAACCACCAGAGCTCTTGACCATCTGGGCGACCATGTCGTCAATGAGACGGTGCTCATACCAGATCTTCTTGGCCTCGAACTCGGGCTTGTACTGGGTGTCGTAGAGCTCCTGGAAGATATCCTTGAAGCGACCATCGTACTTCTTGAGGATGGTGTTCTTGGTGCTCATGTAGAGGGGAAGACCCTTGTCAAGAGCCAGCTTGAAAGAGGCGTGGGCGAAGCCAGTGATGGACTCGTCGGTGTTGTACTGGGTCTGGGCGACACCACCACCGTTCTTGAACTGGTAGACCTCAATCTCCTGGGGCTCACCACCCTCGGGGGTGTAAACCATGGAGAGCTTGCCAGGGCCGGGCAGGACAGCATCCTTGGCGCGGTACTGGTCTCCGAAGGCGTGTCGGCCAATGATGATGGGCTTCTTCCAGCCAGGGACAAGACGGGGAATGCGGGGGATGACAATGGGCTCACGGAAGACGGTACCGCCGAGGGCATTTCGGATAGTTCCGTTGGGGGAAAGCCACACTAAAGCATGTAAGTCAGCTGGGTTTCATTCTTCACGTTTTGGTTCATCACGGAGCATCTCATTCGTCATGTTTCTGCCCTCAATTCTCCTCATCATGTGTGCGGGGGTGGCGATTGGTGGGGGAGATGGCAGAGAGCTGCAAGATGCAACTCGGGCTAGGCTAGGGACAGAAGGGAACTCACTCTGCTTCAGCTTGAACTCCTCGACTCGGGCCTCATCGGGGGTGATGGTGGCGCACTTGACACCGACCTGGTACTTCTTGATGGCCTCGGCGGCATCAATGGTGACCTGGTCGTTGGTCTCGTCACGGTACTCAAGACCAAGGTCATAGTACTTGAGGTCGATGTCGAGGTAGGGGTAGATGAACTTGTCCTTGATGGACTGCCAGATGATGCGGGTCATCTCATCGCCATCGAGCTCGACGACGGGGTTCTTGACCTTGATCTTGGGGATAGCGGAAGCCATTGTGCGGACGGCGAAGGGAGAGATGGTCTGGACGGCACCGAAGGAAGCGCGGATAGGACGAACGGCGATCGGAGAGGAAGAAGCAAAGGCGACACGGCGCAGCGAAGACGATAGAAGAGACCTCGGGACGGCGGAGGCGAAGGCAACAGCGGGCATGATGGGCGAAAAGAGAAGAAGAGGGCGGGAAGCAAAAGAAAAATCCGATATAAAAGGGTCTCAAGAGACAACTGGCAAGGCCGGGCTCGGGAGTCGTCGTCGGTAACTTGGATTGGGCAACAGGCAAACGGGGAAGGCGCGAGTCCGTCTGAGGATACCCAAGGTTGGTAATTTGCTGCTTTGCTGCACACCTCAGGCGCGGGGTGTGATGCGGAAGGACGGACGGTCGGAGGAGGGAACGAGCCTACGAGGGTACGAGGGGGGGCGTGCGTGTTAGAGGTGCCTTCCTTTGGGGTTAGGCAGTTGCTTCGGGAGGGGGAAGGTGCAAGGTGCAGTGCTTCAACCGAGGAAGTGGCCGGTTACTGCTTGACGCAAACGCAGGAAGGCGGCGACCGAGAGGAAAACCGACCGACGATGCGGCGATGCGACGGCGATGCGACGGGATATGGGGAACGACGATGGCGTTTCCCCCCAATGAGACGGAGTGGATTTGATGGGAACGGTTTGGTAGGTGCCGCTTTTTTTTTCTCGTCTGAGCCGAGCTAGTGCGAGGATCTAGGCGCAGAGAAAGAGAGGAAAGCTGGGGAATCGTTAGACCTTTGCGTCAGCCGCTGGGAGGAGCCGTGCAGATGGAGAATGATGCCATGCGGCGGCGGGAAGAAGATGCAGTGAGTGTTTTCTTTCTGCTTCCTTGTGTTCCCTTTGGGGGAGGAGCTCCCGGAGTCGAACAAGGCATTGGGGGAGGCGAAAAGGAGAGAAGGGGGAGTGTGTGATGGAAGTTTGAAGCCAGAAAGGAGCGGTTCTCGTTGGTCAATGACGAGACGCAGAGCATAGATGATGATGTCTTGTGGCTGGTCGATGAGGCTCTACTAGCGAGCAACCCAATCCGAGAATGGAGATTCGACTTACAAATCCTTTTTTGAAGCTGTTTCTGCTTTGCTTTTCCGGTTCGCGTTCTCCTTCTTGAAGCTGATGATGATGGTCTGAGAACTGATGATGGTTCGAGAAACTGGGGGGTTCTACCGAGCTCGAGTAAAAAAAGGACAGAACTCAATGATCCGACAACGGACTGACGAGTGGGAATCACGTCGGTTTTTCCTTCTTAGCCTTCTGGGGTCATTTCTTCCTGGGTCGGCGCGACACGCCGAAGACGGCACAGAAAGCGGGAATAAGGTAAAAAACGTGGCTGATCTTGTTAGACGGATGCGACAGGGGTCTAGCTACATAGATTTGGCGTCTTTTTTTGAATTAATGTCTCTTCTAGATGAAGCTCAAGCTGCGCTCGTCTTTTGCATCTCGCGATGATTTCCAGGCGGAGTGCAACATCTCGCCAACCCGGACTCTTCGGCTCTCAAAATTACGTTTATCCCTTCAGGGTGTGCCTCGAGTAGCCCAGACCTCTCTTGTTCCTCATTGCCAGGGTTCTTTGGGGATGCCAGCCTCGGGACCTGACCGAGCTGGGGCGCCCTTATGAACATCTGCAACCAGAGAAAAAGGCGCTTCTCAGACTTCTAGCCAGTGCCCAGCCTCGACGGTTACCACTAGTGTCGATTCCGCGTGGGACCCCCAGTGCTTGTTGGGGGGGCTTTGGAGCAGAAGCGGGCCCTCTTCTGTTTTGCCTCCCCCTCTTGCATGACAGCTGGGTTTCGCCCTCGCCTCGGGATTGCTATGGCCGAGCCTGAAAGCGACGATGCTTTGTCAGTCGAGGGTGTTGCTAATTCCAGTGGGCGTCACTGGTCAAACTCGATCCGGGGGGAGGTTGGCATTCCGAAAGGAGCAATTCCTCCAGTCTCTAAAGCCATCTACAGCCATCACCAAGGACGGCAGAGTGTCTCGTGAGGACATGCGGAGTCAGCTTGTTTACTTGGCTCTTATAAAGCCAATTGACTGCCACAATCCGGATACAACACACCGCTCCCCGGCAACCCTCCACCCCGCCGCGCGGGAGAGGGGAGAAATAAACGCTAATCCGGGCCCTTCAGCTCGGCGCCGTCCGAATCTCCGTTCTCCGTCTCGGATCTCCGGTGGGCGGACCCGCTCTCCGCGCCGTGATCGGGGGGAAGGGCGAGATGCGGGACACCTTGTTGTCGCAATTGCCGCCCGAATGAAAGGAAAGCTATTCCGATGCGCAGGAAGAGGGGCGGAGGTGAGTATTCCGGCTGGAAACTCAGCCGCTTTTAATATTTAGCAGTATTATCCGTGACAGTGTTGGGTTCTTCCGATGATGTCTAGGAGATCAAAGACACCGGAACAGTCCTCCAACCCGACAGTCTTGGGTTTTTTACTTCTATATCCAAACAAAGCATTCTGGGAATGCGGCCTTTGAGGAAGACTCACAGCTTCGTTGCATGACCTTGGCGCATAACTCAAAACTTCAAAAGTCTTCTCCCGTCTTGGTGTTTTACCCATCCGTTCCCCAGAAAAGCGTCCGAAGCTGCAGCGGCTCCGGATTTGACTGCACATCTACATATCAAGGCTAATGTTATGCCCGCCACGCCTTCTACAACCAAAGTAAGGCAGAGAAAGGCAAAGGAAAACCAAATATGACACCAATAAGAGAGTACTACGAAAGATTAATAGGCAGATGCGGCTCCCATCGAGCACAAAACGTGGTCACGACACAACCACAGGGTGGGAGACAATTGTGGAACACTTCGGAGCCTCGGAAGACAAGCCCGAGCATATATCCAGATACTACCGAGCATTGTATTCACGATCATCAAGGTCCTACACAGTCCTGGTGTTCCTATAGTACACGATTCTTTCCCAGCTACACCCTGTTACATGATATCCATAATGTCCAAGTCCCACCAGCTTACACGTCAAAAATCTCGCCGACGCCCTCATTCCCGCCTCTTCGGTTCTCGACAATATCCAGCCTCCACCCTTCCCAGTGCTTTAGCGATCGCTTAATCTCCTTGATCCGCTCGATTCGCTTCTTCGACTCCTCCTCCTGGGCCTTGCGGAACGCGTCCTCGTCAAAATCCATGTCATCATCATCAAGGAATTCATCATCGTTACCGCCTGCCAGCGCATTGAGACCGCTTGTCAGGAAATCGCCAATGCCACCAGGTCCAGACTTTCTCCTCTGAGTTGGCGAGATCGCATGTCCTGCCGAAAGGTCGACATCGTGGAAGCCTGGGCTTGTCGCCTCCAGCTCACGTCGCTTGCCAATCCAGGCCCCACTGCGAAGCTCATGCACCTCGCTCTCAAGAGCCCGGATCTTCCTCTCAAGCTTCTGGCGTTCTTCGTCCTCAAGCTCATCAACGCCCTCGTCATCCAGCCCACCACCTCCTTCGAGAGACCTGCGGCTTCGAAGTTTCGTATTCTCACTCTCAAGCTTCTCGAGCTTCGACCGCAAGTCGGTCGCGTCTCGTTCCGCCTTCTCCTTCTCCTTCTTCAGTGCTTGTAATCGTGAATCTTGCTCCTTGTGCAATGTCGTGAGAGTCGTAGCTTTCTTCTCTAAGGCCTCGACCTTCTTCTCGAGCTCATCGCGAGCATTGTTGGATTCCTCGAGTTCATGCTCCAGAGTCTTGAGCTTGGTCTCAGCGCTAGTTCGTTCGCTACCTTCTCGAACGGCCTTCTCTGTCGTCCGCTCGAGGTTGCGCTTCAAGTCCTGAAGCTCGCGCTGCGCCTTGCCTGCCGCAGCTTCTGCCCGTGCTACTTTGTCCTCCAAGGCAGTAATCTGCTCCTTCTCAGAGGATGAGCCACTGGCATGTCGCTCAGCTTGCGCCCTGAGCTTTGAGATCTCAATCTCCATTGACTCGATGGTGGCTGACTTTGCGTCAAGCTCAGCCTTTAGGTCAGCAGGAGGCGTAGATAGGGACATGGATGGTCGATGCGCGTGGCCAGAGCCCCGCGATACTTGTTGCTGAAGTTGCGAATTCTGACGCTGCAAAGCGGCAAGCTGGGTCCTCTGTAGCATAGGTCAGTGGGCTGATAGATTCATGTTGCGATGCGCATGATGGGCCTCTTACCAGACTGTCGCAGAGTCCGTCTTCGGGGCCACCAGTCTTGACATCGTCATCACCGTCGTCCTCCCGGATGTCTGCCAGCTCATCTTCAGCCTTTTGCCACCTCTTTTCCGACTCGGCGACTTCCTTGGCTAGGCGTTTATTCTCCTTCTCGAGCTCCTCGATTCTGGCTACATGCTTTCTGTAGATATCCGGCGCAGTATCACCATCGGGGCTGAAAGGGCCGGGAGATATCGCACCGCCAGGGGGAATGGATCCCGCGCGGAATGATGTAGACCTTAGCTTCGACTGCTGGGCCAAGGACGGAGCAGCTGAAGAGGGCTCATCTTCATCGTCGTTCCCTGGCGCTTCGACATCGTCTTTAGGTGTCTCTGTGGGCGCTTCCTCTGTGGCCTTCTCGTCGGTTGGAGGGGGAGCATCGACGGAGCCCTCTGGCTCAGTTGCTGGGGTCTCAGCAGCCTCCTGCTTGGTCTTCTTGGATGCGCTGCCCTTCTTCTTGCTCTTCTTTAGTTGCTCGACCTGAAACGACCACGGGTCAGCCTGGTACATGGTAGGCAACGGGAGGAAGGGAGGGGTGCACGAACGCGCTTCTTGGCCGCGGCGATCTTCTCCTGGCGGGCCTTTTCGTCGGCGTCAGCCATGGTGATTCGAGGTACTGCACGTGTATAGTTCGGATTAGGAGAGACGCGTGGTAAGTTTGATGTCGGCGTTGTTGAAATGTGTCGTTTAGATCGGGCTTGGATACTGTAGGACGTGTTGGTGGCAGCTCCACACTCAAGGGAGCTCCGTCATCTTGCTGAAGCTTAGTTGGCCTGTGCAGGGGCCGTGTAATCGGTACCTGTTTCAATTATCGACACTGTGTAAACACCATCACCTCACCTGTCACTCCTCTCTTTGGTTGTTCTTTGACTGAAAGGCTTTGCATTCGATCATAATACAATGGTTAATCTCTCGATGAGGCGTATGGAGAAAGCCGAGCCGCCCAAAAGTTACGAGTTTACTGGCTGCTGATAGTTCAGCCTCTTATTCGCATTCCTATTTGGTCTCCAGATCCTCGAGTCACTTACATCACCCCAATGAGGAGAAGCTTCCATAACCACACTGAGAACTTAGTAAACCTCAATCTTCATCCTTTAATTAGATATTAGCTAATATATCCATGCAAACTTTTGGTTCTGTTGGGTTTTAATGCCCAGCTGAACACATGAATCTATGTACCTACCTACCCAACTGTTTGTTGGTGATCGCGACGGGCAGCGGCAGTTGCCTGACAAGAATGGCAGGTGCCCCTTCTCAACATTTCACGTGAAATTTTTGGACATAGAAGACTGGAACTCCTCACAATGAATTGTAAGCTTCCACCCTTCAATCAGTCGTCTTGATCCTTCGCTGACCTGCTGCACCACTCCAACTTCAAGCGCCTTGACATGAATTGGATTGAAGGGTCTCTCGCCCGTCACTCCCGCCGCAAAGGATGGGATAAGGATGCTGCCCACCAGAAGGAATACTTTGCCAAGGCCCGAGCCAGGAAACAAGAGGCTGCTTCTGGGAAGAATACACCCAGAGTTCCCTTCGTCCCTGACTACATCCCACGCGAGCCGCCGTCGGGTAATTCCTCGAGCTCCTCCGCCCATCGAAAGAAAGACAAGTCACCCCGAAAACGATTGATACATAACCAGAATGATACGAATTTGAGAGCCATTCCTTCCAGCGGTCAATCACAGCCAGACCAGCGGGCCTCAGGTTCGCTCCTCGACCCAACCACATGGGCCAATCAACACCAAACTGATGTCGATATTGATGCCAAAAGACAAAAACTCCTCCAGGAAAATGACTGGAGCCGTGTCCGGTTTCAGAAGCCCCTTGGGCCCATCTACCCGCAGCAAAGGGCACCCGTTGCTCACTTCACCTCTAGAGGAAATCACCACCTGCCAGGCAACCAAGCCAATACCCTGTTGCAGATACCTGGGCTTGATAGCCGCTTGAATCAGAGACCGTCGACACATCGAGCAAGAAATAGCATGCAAATCAGGATCGGGGACAAGGACCTTCGCTGGAGCACGCAAAGCAACTCGGTTCGAAGTTATATTTCACGGCGCGGACAACCCGGGGAATTGGGGGCATGGCACTCTACACCACCCAGACCAATGGTATCGCGTTCGCCCTTTGAACCACGCCCAAGTGTGAGTCGCCTATCTGAACCTTCTGAGCATCTAGGAGCCGACTCCAGGCCGCAGGCTCCATTCCCAGACCTTGCAACCGCCGTTGGACATTCTCTAGAGGGGAGACGAAAGAGGCGACCAAATGCTCTGCACGATCGAGGCATCATCGTGACATCTTCACCATCTGTTATACACCACCCTCGACCGACTCGAGATGGACACCCGTTCGACATATACTCTCTCGAAGTTCAAGACAACGACAGTGTCGCCGGCCGGGTTGGCTCAACTGGCCCGTCCTCGAGTCACCCCCAATCCGATGATATTCAATGGAACACATGGCTGAACGGAACTCCTGAGCCCAGGCCACGAGGCTCGTCTTCGGTGTATAACGAACCAGGCTCATTTCCTCGCAATACTGGGGCTTGGGGCGATTCATACGATCAATCGCAGACCCATAGCACCATCTATCACGGGGTAGCACGACGAGACAATAGTAGGAAAAGCGATGAATTTTCGCTACTATCAAGCTCGCGTCGATCTTGCCAGTTTTCTTCTGATTTCCCGAGCGAAAATACGCATGTGACCATGGTAGAACTCGAGCCTCCGAAGCAGACCCGTGCGAGAGTCGAAGAAGAGGCATGGGCTGCCTTTGTCAGGGGTTCTAATCAAAGCCATGAATTGGGCAAGTCATGTTCGACACCAATCCCCACAATACGGGATAATCGACGAAAGCCCTCGAACACCCAAGATCTGATGGAACTGTTGATTGCGAAGGAAGGGGGACACGAAACAGGCCATGCACACAGAGAAACAACACCGCAAGAGGACGAGGATGAGATATGGAAGAAGTTCCTCTTCGATGACTACGCCGAAATTAATCGCAGAGCACGGGAAGAGATCCATGAAAAGACTAAATATGACCTAGGGCTGAAGAAGGCAATTCCCCCGAGTTATGTTTTGGAGTCGACTTCAGGGGCCAAGAACGACCAGATGCGCAAGACCCCAACGACTGTCGCAGAGTCGTCTTCAATACCTTGCCTGGACTTGAATTGGAATATACTCGAACCTTCACGCAATGCGGTAGAACCATTTCCAGTGCCAAAGACAGGAATGGACCCCCCGATCTCACAGCCCCCAAACACAACTGCTGAGTCGAATCCAGCACCCAACTTGGACTTGGACACTAGCATGCTAGAGCTCTCTGAAGCATATGAGCTGGACTTGAGCCTTCACATACCTGAGCTTCCGGACAGCGTTGCGGAGTTGCCTTCAACACTAAAGCCCGACTCGAGTATGCAGACGGTAGAGGTATCAACTGATGTAATAGAGCCACCCTTGACACCTGGAGAAGGGCAACCGGGCGCATGTACGACACACATCGCCACCGAGGAGCCCCCTGAAATACCGTCTTGCACAGATGAAGGCATGCAGGCTCCATCAGATGCCCCCGCGGAAACGAATACGGTGGATGCCGATTCGGCGACTGCCCAGCCAGGTTCGCCTCAACCGGTGCAGCCAGAGTTCAAGTTCCATCACCCGAACCTGTTTGTTGGACGTCTGGCCAGTAATGGCCCAGCCAATATGCCGTGCGCACCCTCGACTGCTGCGCCAAAGATGGGCAGGCGACCAAAAGCTAGGGGTCGCAGGGAGCAGGGAAGGCCGGACTTTCGTACGATGCCCGACTATGATGGAGATCCGATTGAGGAGTGCTGCGAGGGATAGGCGAAGACCGAATGACGGAGATAGGGATGGGGACATGCAATGGGGCTGGGTGCTTGGTGCATGGGGCATGAGGCATGAGGTCACGGGTTGTTTGTGCAGTGCGCGATATTGTGTAGCGCAGACTGGGGAAGCCTTCATGGTGGCCCTGACCTGACATCAAGTCTGGGGAAAGTATTTGCAGGGAATACGGTGTCACGGGAGACAAAGGGAAGGATATCAGGGATCTACTTGTCTCTTTTCTCGTTACACGCCCGACCAAGGGTATGAGGCGGGCCATATGCCGTGATGACCAAATATCACACCGTAAAAGTCGAGAGGGAAGCAGAATGTCAAATAATTGTGCCATTGTTGGGTACTGTAGCTGTAATCCAGAAGCCCCACACAAGAAATACTACATACACGAGAATGAATACACACGAGATGCGCAACAAGCACGCCCCCCGGCAAACAAATCCAAAACCCAATGACATAAACGAGAAAGAAAAAAAACTCCCGCCGTCTATATAGTTAGTGCCGTAATATCTTTCCCTCTAAAGTAGTGCGGGTATCTCATATCTCATCTCATCTCATCCGTAGACGTCACAGCATCATGTCACTGCCAATAACAACACCTCTTATCTCGCTGCCTTGGGTGAGCTGAACCCCAGCCCAGATCAGGTCCCACCCAGTAAGCTTGTCCGGAAAAGGAAACTCGATAGAAGAATGGAAGGAATGGAAGAACTGATGGTGCACACCACAGCCACGCTTGACATCCCCCGCAGCAGGGCCCCGCTTCTAGAACAATTCTCTCAAGTCAGCCTCATGGGCTGGGATCCCGGTGGAGACGGGGATCTGCAGCGCATGGGTGGGCGTTTTCGAGAGGTCCGGGGAGGATCCCTTGCTGCGTCCTGTAAAGGTGGTGTGGGCGACCAGCGACTGAAGGAATGCGAAGCCAAGAGAAAGTATGCCGAGTAGGCAGACGTTCAACATGTATGTAAACGAAAAGACCAAAAACGCCTTGATGCCCGAAGCCGTGCATGGTGGTGTGCCGGTCTTGGTGATGTACAAGGGTTCCTGCAGCCTCATTGCCAAGCTGCGAGGCGGGATCGAGAGCTGTGCTGGGTAAAAGTGCACATGCCGGCACATCCCGCCGTACCGATGACAGTATCGATGTGAAGCGAGACTGTCGAAGCTGCAGATATGTGCTGCGCAAGGCGCAATCATGATTTCAACCAGGTGCGAGACTTTGTGGTGTCTTGTGGTTGGTCGGTTGCGTGAGCAAGGCTGTGTCTCTGCTCACCCCCTTCAAGATCGGCTGCGGCGCTTCTCCTTGCGCTTGGGCTCACATGACCCCTTGCACTTGGGGCATTCGTACTCATCCTTGGAGGTGTAGACGCGGATGAGGCATCGCGGGCATCGCCACCACTTGTCGGAATAGTATCGATCCTCGAGCCACTCTTCGTTGACCACGACGCCACGCTTCTGGATATCCTCACGATGGTACTCGCGCAAGTGGTCGCGGAAGTGATCACGACGACGGAAAGGCTCGCTGGCGCGGGTGCATTTTGGGTAGTCGCAAAAGTGCGCCTCTTTGGTCAAATCGGGATTGTGAATGTTCCTATAGTGGCGCTGAAGATCGGCAGTGCGCTTGAAGGGCTTCGCATTGCAGCCAGGGGCAAGGCACATATTGTCTGGACCGGAGTGACTGCGGCGAGTTAGCTTAAGTAACAAGAGAAAGCAGTGGGTGAGGGACAGACGTACCCATCGCCCCGAGGAACATTGGTATCCTCTGAACCTGCAGAGTAGGCCGAGTAATAAGAATCCTGATAGGTAGAGTCTTGTGGGTAGGCAGGGCCTTGTTGATATGCAGGATCCTGTTGTTGAGCAGAGTAGTAACCACTCTGCATGGGAGACTCAGGGACGGTTGAGGCGGTAGAACTACCCCCAGAGCTGACGCCCCGGGCAAGGGGCCAGGAGTAACTGTCGTGTTGATACGCAGCTGGAGAGGTTGCCTGGTCTTGGGAGTCCGAGGCGTCGTAGAAGTAGTTGCTCTGCTGGCCGTAGTAGCTCATTGTAGCGACGATGAAAGTGACAGTAGGCCTTGAAGGAAGAACTGGTCCGTTGCAAGTGTAGAGGAGCTATTACTTGGCTCCGTCAACGTGGGTATTCGAGGCACGGATGCTTGAAAGGTCGAGCAAGCAGCTTGTGAATGGCAAGAGTGAGAGATGGTGGCATGCAAGAGGCCACGAGTAGGTTGTTGTCTTGGTGGTAAATCCCCAAACGAAGATACAAGGCTTTCTGCATGGAAGTCGATGCTGTTGATGTGATGGTGATGGTGATGAATGAGTTGAAAGTGAGGGTGGCCAGGCTGGTTATATGCTTGAGAGTCCGGTGTCTGGAGAAGGGGGTGTCTGCTCGGGCGGGTAGGCTAAGTAACAAGGCCAGCAGGTGAGGCTCAAATCGCACATTGTTTAGTGAGGCGGAAGGTGAAGAGTCATGTCATACACAATGGGAAAAGGCAACATGGCCCTGAAACTGAAAGAGAACTATGTGGTGCCGATTCTGGTAGCTCTTGGCTGCAAGACCAAAGGGGTATCATTAGGCTTCTAGAATACTATGTGGGATCAAGAACCTGGCTCGGGGAGGTAGTTATCGGGGACGCAGCAGGCCTAGCCACAGCCAACACTTGATCTGATGGACCCTGGACGACATCGACAAGACGAAACAAGGTCGACCACTAGAAGCCAAGACAACAAGGGTGGCAGTGATAGAGTGAATCGAGGGGGGGAGAGGAAGAAGCAGGGGTCTGAGGCGAAGCATCTGGCACTAACTGGCTCGTGATCCAAGTTGACACTTGTCGGCTAGACGGGCACTAGGTATGAAAGAGCCAAAGCAGATGATGACAAAAGGGCGTAGAGACACAAACGTGGAAACCGAGTTAAGAGGCGCTTGCTGGGCTTGGATAGCGAGGCCGGTGTCCTGAAGAGGAAAAGATGGTGAGGTGGTGATGCACAACTTTGAAGCTAGGAAGAGGGTTCCTGAGAGAACGAAGCTGCTTGCTTGCATGAGAAGGATCAACGGGGCCGGCCGCCTTGTACAGAGTACAAAGCAGAGAGCCGGGTCGACCGGGATCTGCGCGGTGCAAGGTACAAATGGGCGTACACTGGCGATGAAAGCATGCTTTGCGCCAACAAGATTCAAGGGCTCGACAAGAGAGCACGGGGTCAAGATCAGCACCAACCTAGCCACTAGAGTTATCTTGGCCCTCGCGTTGTGGCAGCACAAATGTGCCCGAGCATTTGAACAGGGTGTAAGTAACGCCCAGGCCAATGACATTGGCAACGAGGCAACAAAAGTGAAAGCTGAGAGGGGAAAGGAGAGCCTGGAGGTCGAGGGAGAGCTGGTCCGAGTTGCCAGTGACGTTACCGGCTGGGCGGGTGCCATGAGGCTATGACATGGCCACGATGGGGCTGACGGAATTGATCGATAGGGCGGTTGACGTTGGCGTTTGATGGCACGGGTAAAGACATGGCGGCGGGAGTGGATGCGGGTGTGGCAGACGGCGATTGGGGAGGCTGCTTTGGTTTGTGCATTCGGTAGGTAATCCATTCGTCGCGAGATAGCTTAGAGATTACATAGTGGCAGTGCGCGACCAGCAAAATCTCGGTCGCTTCCAAAGGCAAAGCCAGTTTCAAGAGCCTGGGCGTTTTCAGGGCCACCTACATAGGGGTGTGTCGCTGGCGTCTTGGGCGTGGCCCGCAGCTGTGAAAATGAGGTGCGCTTGCGCCGCACAGAGCGACCAGGGACCGACGCCGGCTGGTATGCAATTGTATGTAGGAGGATGCAGGGGAGATGTTGAACGTCGAAGGACAACATCTGTAGCTGTAGCTGTAGCTGTAGCTGTCACATTGGATCCGCGTCGGTGGGGAAAGTAGACGATGATTGCCGCAGGTCACAGCGGGAACGGGGCCGTCTCTGCGGCCTCGTTAAGGACGGAATTGATGAGCACTCGGTAACGGGAGGAATTCAATCGTCGTTGCTGGGGAATCCATCTCGTCCCATCTGCCCCATCGCGGGTCAAGGACATGGGGTCTTTCAGACCCATCAAGACTGGGCCTTGACATAAGGACACGGTACTCAGTGGTATCAAACATGCGGTAGGGCCGTCGAATCAGGTTGAAAGGGGATATCGAAATCAATTTTTTCTTGGTTGCATGGCTGAGGCAGAATAACGAGGCAGAAGGGAGAGTCCTACCTGCGTAGGACCTTCTGAGGCTCCCTACCTACGCCCTGGGCTTGCCCGGGTTAGTAATCTCACCTGCCTTTTGGCAATGATGAGGAAAGAACGAACCAACTCGGCATTGGCCAGCTGGCAACTAGAGGTATTCCCAAATATCCCTTCTCTCTTAGCATTTCCCATCCATCCATTCCCATCGTGATCATCGCCATGCCCATCATGCACTTTCATGCGGTGGCCTAGATGCTTTGCATTAACACCCGTCGCGTTTGACTTGACCATCTCTGCAGTACAAAGCCATCCATCAACAACAAGTGGACCCAATGGACACCTCGCCTTACTAGGAGGATGTGGCACACGGGACATGACATTACACGGCCAGCAACCGCCCATAGCGCACAAGCAAAGCAAAGCAAAGCAAAGCAAAGCAAAGCAAGCACAAGCACAAGGCTCAATCAACACCATGGGGATGAAGCTTTGGTGGGTGCACAGAACTTACTGTACCCCTGTTGATAACTCGACGACCAATCGAATGGCGCACCTTTTGCATGGATTCTTGTCTACCTCTGCTGCCTGGCCCGGAGAAAGTCTTGGTGGAGTTGCGATTGATTGAGCTGTGGCTCTGGTCAGTCGATCCAGGTACTTCAAGATGCTCAAATACAGTACCTACCTGACTGGCACATTATCGCCAACAATAAGCGGCATTGACCTCAAGCGGATCAAGAGCACAGACGATGGACGGGCACGGACGATGCATCGCCATACCGCCAACTCCCACGCCCCCGTCTCCCCACACTCTCGGTCACTCATCTGGTTGACCTACAGCACCCTACACGGCTGGTGTAATTGCCTCTGCATCACATCCGTTGCTGAGCGCCGCATGTAAGTCAATCCGGGACGTCCCCAGGGCCCCTCAGCGATTTTGCTTTTGCGAGAACACACAAGACAAGGCAGGCAGCCCACCAGAACGCCCTAGGCGATCAACAGCCAGCAACACCAAGCAGAGCAACCACCCATGGACGCCCTGTCTCGTCTGCCTGACCTACCGGGTTCATCTCCGGCTCCTGCAAGTCAACACAGGAAAACTCTCCGACAAGGCCGTTGTCGGTGTCTAGCGTCTGGTTCGTCGATTTGGACTACTTGCCGAGGTGCCGTTCGTTCCATGGAGCTTGGGGCGTGTTAGTGAGGCTGACTGAGGCAGTGACAGCAAGCAGACGCAAGTTGTCGGCTCTGGGATGGTTCGCTTTCTACCCAAGTCAATGGTTCGCCCGCTGCCTCGACGATTAGAGGCTCCACTGCAATCGTTTCCCGCAGGCTTCGCCCTCTTGGTTCCGTGACCATTCGCTTGCTGACCTCTCTCTGCCTCTGCCCAACGAGCTTGCCAAGAATCCTCGCGGGGAAGCTCTGGGTCCATGCCACAAGGTTGACAGACGACCCTCGCTAATCATGATCCCCCCTTTCTCGTGTTCAAGGATCCTGCTCCCGCGCGCGACGGTCTTCTGACAAGGACCCCGGGCAGATAAGGAAGCATTCTGGAAACCTTCTTGTTCCGTTTATGTCTTCGTTCCGTTTCACACCCCGGCCATATTCCGCGGTCAAGACCGAAGGAGCCAGGGGAGACATCGTGCTGCGTTTGTTCGTTGTTCCGAGCTTTGTTGATGAATGCATCACCAGGTAGTGGCAGTACTGCGCCGCAGGCCCAAGTCACTCCGCGGAAAGGGATCCGCCTCTCCGAAAAGGACGGCGACAATGACAAGGTGAGACGAATTCTAACGAGAGCATTGCCTCATTAGCCCTCGGCCGGCTGACGATTCGATTGACTTGTTGAGGAATGAATGGATGACGATGCCACAAAAGAAGGCAACCAGAGGCGCCAATGCATGGGAGCCTCTCTTGTCCCGCCAGCCCTGGTTTCAACCAGACAGTTTGCACATTGCCATGGCCCAAAACAGAGAATTAGGTTCGAGTTGACAACTGTCACTGATCAAGTCATACTCTTGTCAGTCAGGGTTGAACAGAAAGGGCCAGGGGAGGAATCGAGACCACAGACGCAAGTGCAATTGCCTCAGTTGAGACACCAAGGATTTGTTCAGCTCGATTTCTTTTCTTTTCAGAGGAAACTGTGCACTTTTGCCATCAGATGACTCTGCATTGCCGCCTTGCTGATGGTATCGTATTGACGTGTTCGCAGCGATGTTTTGTTGATGACCGAATCCCTGGCTGATGACCAGCGACAGCCAGCGCATGGAAGAAGAAAAAAGAAACGCAATTGCACAAGTTCAATTCCGTCTTTCAACCTCGTCTCATCCCTAGATATATCATGCAAAAATATGCTCCTAATTCCCCATTCTGTCCTTTGGGCAGCAATGCATCTCACACCGTTCATGCACTTCTACACTTTGGTCCATGATCGCTTCACCTTGATCGAGACCGAGGACGTGCCACGTCGACACACAGACACAGCAAGATGGTTGTTGGGCTGAGATCTCACGGAGGCGCAACACATGTGGACGAGATGGCTTTGCACATGCTGGCGCACTGGCGAAACGGGCCTCGGGCCTCGCAACCGAATCTGGGGCTGTCCTATGGTCCATGTCAACCACCATTAAGCCGTCTGACAAACTGCCCTCTGCGAAACAGTTCTCAACGAGGCGAGAGCCTGCCGCAAGTGCCTAGCTGGCAAGCAAGCCACGCATGCACCACGCCATACACTTCAACTTGAGGCATACATACACATGACCAGCTGGACAGCCCACACGTGTGAAGACTTGTTTCTCAGGGCTGCGTCGCCCGACACTCGAAAGGTTCCATATTCATATCTCAAACACTGAGGTTGCTAACGCCCCATGTAGCCATTTCGCACATTTACCTGTCCCAGAAAAAGCACAACAAGCGGCTGTAAAGCGAGGACAAGGGAAGAGGGAAAAAGATGAGGCTACCCCATGATACCGTCCCTTTTCCCACCCTTGCGCTCCCCATGAAACCTGCCGAGGGAGGCTCAAAAACCCATTGTACAGTCAGCCATATCCCGTTCCGTTCCATATCCACCTCTCTCGCGCAACCAGAATTACCTGCGGAACAAGCCCTGTCCCGCTTGGTCAAGGAAAGTGAGGCATTAGACCTCGTCCTCGAGAAACTTGTAGGCAAACTTGAAGTCCGCTTTTCGTCGGTTCATCCTGTCATTTTGTTAGCACGCCTCACAACAAGGGGTCACTGGGTTTCACATACCAAGTGCTCTCGTAGTCAAAGAATCGATATGTGCCCTGCTCAAAGTCCTCGGTGATGTTCTTGGGCTCCTCGTGTCGCTGAAACCATGTTTGATACTGCTTGTGGAACCGCCAGCTCTGGTCTTTAAGGGCCTTGGCTGCCAGATACTGTTGAGGAGAGCCTTGCTTGTAGTAGAAGACGTAGAACAGAGTGTCAGGGTCGATCTTGGAGTACAACCGGGGGTCCTCGAAGATAGCGAGAGGCTCGCGGGGGAAACCAGACACTGTAGGAGGCACCGGGACGTCGGGCCGGTATGACCGTGGCACATCGGCGTCCTGGACATCTGGGCAGGTTCCTTGACTAGAGGTCATGATGCGCAGCGTTGAGGGCGCCGAAGGGGGTGCGGGACGCTTCCTGGAAGTCTCATACGTGTCGACGAGATCCTGCAGCGATGAAGGTAGGTGGTAGATGCACTCCTCTTCGACCTCCTCAGTACGCTTGACACCATTGGAAGCACCATTTGTTTGGGGAGCTAGATGACGGTCAGCTGAGGGTTTATACATGAGATTCGCGTACATACGCTTTGGTGACTCGGTGGCTTCAGGGACAGCAGGCTGCTTGCCAGCGGCCTTGGATCGCTTGGACGGCTTCACGGGGACGGGGACAGGTACGGGCTCGGGCTCCGCGGCGGCGATGGCAGGTGTGGACTGTTTGGACTCGGCTTGTTGAGACGCGGGCTGGATCAGAGATGTTGCGGGAGAGTTTGTCGCGCTTGTTCGGGACTGCGGCAGCGGTGATATACTCGACGGCGCGGCACCGGGAGGCGGAGGTAACGGAGCAATACCCACGTTGTTCTTGTCGCTCGCTGCGGCCGCCGCAGCTGCTGATGCGTACTTGAGGCCCTCCCCGGCCGGCCGTGTAGGTACTGATGCTGGTTTCATCGGTGGGCCGCCTACGGTGCCGTTGCTGATTGTTGCTAGAGGAGCATGGAGAGTAGCGAGAGCAGGTAACGGCGACTTTGTCTGGGAGGATGCCCTCCGCACAGTGTCGGTCTCCTTCTGCGCCTTCCTCGACAGTAGCTTGGGGGGCTCGATGTCAGCTGTCAGATCCTCCTGCACAGATTGGGTGTCGAGGGAAGAGTTCTTTTCGTTGTCCAGGCTCATGCCGTAGGTGCCTTCCTCGTCCTCGAGGTCTAGCTCCTCGTACATCTCCTCGTCCTCGATAAAGTCCTCGTTCATGCCGTCCGACACGTAATACCGGATGCTCTCCTCGAGCTCGTTGACCTGTTCGGGTTCGACGCCGCCGTTCTCGAGGGACCTGCGGATCAGCTCGAGCTTCCCTTGATGCCACTTGTGTCGTTCGATGACACGCTCGACCTCGGCGATGCGCTCGGCCTTGGCGCTGTTGTTCTTGCCCTTCTTCATGGTGGCCTGTATCGACTCGCCCTCGGCCTCGAGAGTCTCGATCTGCTGCTCTAGGTCGTCGACCATGCTACTTAGGAATTCGCTCGCCTCAACCTTGGCCTGCTCTTTGGGGTCGAGCTTGGCGGCGGCTGATAGGCCTTCCTTGGAGTATGCCTTGGTCTTCATGGCCTTTTCCACCGCCTTGAACTTTTCCATTTGCTAACCCGACCGGTCAATAAGGTGTTCTTGTTCTTCTCGGCCTCTGTCAGTAGCAGGCAAGGGGACCAACCGTCTCGATCAGCTTCCGGTGCTCCAGCAGCGGAGCCTTGTCCTTGATGTCGTTGCTAGCGGCCCATGTTTTGATCTGGTCCCTCAGCCGCTGGAGCTTCTTGATCTCGCGCTTGAGGTTGTCCTCTAGTTTGTCCTTTTGGGCGGGGTTATTCGACTGCTCAATCTTCTCGTAGATGGCACTGAATTCGGTGACTCCTTCTGCCACCTTTTTGAAGCACTTGTCGACTTCTTGTTGCAATTTTCTCGCCGCCATTGTGATTGGAGCGACGAAGCCTCGCGGGGGCGCACACGGGGTTCAATCGATGGGGTTGTCGTCGGTGTCGGGGGGAGGGTTTGGTGATGGTTCGTTCTTTGTTCGCCTCGTCTCGTCCGGCTGTGGGGGATCTTGAGGGCGGGCGGCTCAAGGGCGGAATGGCGCGTCGCGTCGCCGATCCAAGGGTGGAGTGGATGGTGCGCGGCGCAGGAATGCGGTGATGGACCTCGTGAGGCCAATTCGGGGGTCGTGGGGGATGAAATGCGTCGAGAGAAGCGGCTCTGCTCGACTTTGCTACGTTGATTGAGGTGGGAAATAGAGTAATGAGGCCAAACAGCCGCAGGCGCGCGATTGGCTGATGTACCGCGGGTCACCTGGGGCGGGGCGCGGTTAGATGCCGAAACCTGTTTGGGTGGCGATTCAGGCTCTCGGGGTGCGTTTGCGGCAGCGCGAGAGACGCGACACTTCCGTGATGCAGTGTTAATTTGTGATACAAGGTTAAGCTGTGGAATTACTAGGTTTCAGCGCGTGCGTTGCGGTGCAGTTGAGGGATTCGCTATCGCGAGATACCTGAGGTACAGCTGGATGACGTGGGGTACACGAGGCTGCCGCTTGGCGTCGCTAGCACTAGGCGCATCTCACATGACACGGATTCACAGAAGCTATTGGAAGACCAGAGACGGCATGCAATGTATCTATCCTCTGTAGACTATCTTGTATCGGGCAGGAGTTGACGAAACATTTTGCGTTTGATAAGAGAGGATTGAATTTCAGGTAATTCAATATCACAATCATTTTGCCCTTGCAGTCGCTGGTGACTCATATCCGGTTTCATCAGCATTGTCTGCTTGTCAATGCCAAGACTACTACTCCTGGCTACTGTTATAGAGCTCGGAAGGGTTCCCGATCTTGGTTAAAAATTGCCCGAGTCGACAACTCAGCTCAAACATCTCGAAACGGTCAGGAATTTAGTTGTTCAAATATGAAGGGTACGTGCAGACAAAAGCCCCCTTCTCAACTGCGGCAGTCGACAGAGGTGAAACGGCTGAGGGGCTCACACATGACACTCGAGCAGTCATCCTGCAGCGCGTGCTGTCGGCGTCCGTGACGGTGGACAAGGAGATGATCTCGTCCATCGGCAAGGGCGTCCTAGCCTTTGCTGCCGTGGCCCCCGGGGACACGGAGAAGGAGGCCGACCTGATGGCGGCTAAGGTGCTCCGGATGAAGCTCTGGGACGACGACGAGGGAGGCAAGGTACTTTACTCTGTAGGAGGGGGAAACATGAACATGATCTGACAACCGAGAGCAGTGGAAGCGCAGCGTAGCTGACATTGAGGGCGAGGTCCTGTGTGGTAGGTTCAGCCCAACCTCCTAGCAAGCCACGGTTGAAAGAGACGAGCTGATGCTGGGATGCAGTGTCGCAGTTTACTCTGCTGGCCAGCACCAAGAAGGGCGCCAAGCCCGATTTCCACGGCGCGGCCAACCCGGAGGAGGCGCGACGGCTCTACCACTACTTTGTGCAAAAGGTGAGAGCCGGGTACCAGGAGGAGAGGGTCAAGGACGGACAGTTCCAGGCCATGATGGAGGTGGCTCTCGTCAACGACGGACCGGTGAGCCTATTTTCCTTTCTTTTTTTACTCATGAGGCTTCGTTTCGGGCTGACGACAAGCAGGTTACTCTTGAGCTGAAGAATGGCGCCAAGACTGATTAAGAGACAACGAGGCTGAGTCGATTTTTTGTTATTCCTTGTCTATAGAGAGATGGCGGGAAGGTGTTGTTCATAAGGCCATAGAAAGTATAGAGGAGGGTGAAAGTGTATGTGTGTTTCTTTAGAGGAATCTGGTTTTAGATGGGCTGCTGGCACCAACAATCACAGACATGCTTGCGTTACACAAGAACAAAGAAGTGAAATCTCACATCCAGCCTGGTTTGCTGCAACTTGACGCAATCAATTCAATACCCGGAGGTATCCGGCTTTTTGACAATGGGCACGGCTCAGATTCTCTCCCTCCCGTTTCATCAAAAACGGCAAAGACAAAAAAGACAAGACATATCACCAACAAACAACATGGGCTAAAGAGAAGCGATTGGCCGATATGTAATCAGGATCTGCATTCTCGCGTCGCACGCCTTTTGCTTCTTTTTTTTTTCCCCCTTCCTCTTTTCCCTTGCGTCCCTGCATCCCCTCCCCCTCCGGAGAGCCGGCCTTGTTGCCGCCTCAGAAAAAGGTTTGGCTCGCAAACGGCGCAGGGTAGCATTCTTGTCCCAGACCTGAGCAGAAAAAAGAGGGCGCACAGGTTCACGGCTCGGCTCTCATCAGGCTGGCTCAGGACCAGGGGTCTTATTGACTGACAGCCCGGGGCCCAGGGGACAGCGAATCAAGGGTCTCGGAGATGTGTGCGCTGGTTTGCTTGCTTGCATCTTTCCCTCCCGCGCCGACCGGACTGGGACCCTGTTGGGCAGATTTTCAACAGCCCGCTCCGACCTAACGCTGGATTACCAGTAGGGGGGTAGCAGGCAAGCAAACCAAGCCCTGCGCGGGTGGCATGGCGTGCCGTCGCAGGCGTGCGTAGGCGCATCGGCAGCCCTATCCCCTGCTTACGGGGGGTTAGGGAGTTCCACCCGGGAGCGGCACGGGGTGGGTTGGCGGCGGGTGTGAATACCCTCCAGCGGGAAAGAGAGTGAGATGATGGCTTTTGAGGACTACGTATTAGAGGGAATGAATTTGTGTCTTGGGCTGTAGTGATACCCTTGATTGTTTGAAACATCTTGCAGTTTTTTTTTTTTTGCTTTAAAAAAAGAAATCCTAATTGTTCTCTATCCATCCAATGCCAAGACTGGTGTAACAAACGAGTCGATACTGATTCACCATGTTGCATTTCTGGGCTTGATATTTGATCCCTCGATAGTAGCTGTATAGCCTTGTCTGACCGGGTACCCCCATCTCCCCCTGGTCTGTAAATCAATGCTTTGTTGTCTCTTTTCTCTCTCTCTTTGTCTCTCTCTTCAAGTTGCTGTTGATTGCTTGCTTACCGTTGATGAGGCTTTTCCTTTTCAAAGGAGCTGAAATCGTTTGCCCTTGTAATTCTGGGGCCCTCTCTCTTCTCTACCCCGTCTCATGTAACTCGGCTGAGCTGGCCATTGGCTTCTTTTCTCTTTTCTCTACCGGACAAGAGAAAAGGAAAAAGAAACGACAAACAAGACCAGAATACCCCGCATTGCCCCGAGGCTGATGTCCTCGACTTGGTCCGAATCTGGGCTATTTCGGAACCACTTTGCTTGCTGGATAACACAGGGCAGGGCGACCAGGCTCTCTTGCTTCTACCCACTAATAACCAACTACAAGACAAGTACAAGTACCACACACAGCTCTCTCTGTCTCTCTGCCTCTTGTCTCTCGGTTATTCTCATCCTCTCAAGACTCAACTCAAGACTTTGTCAGAGAAACAACAACAACCCACTCAGCTTTACCCACTTATAAGCGCACGATCTTGGGCTCACTTGCATCGCGACTTTTCCGGAAGTGGAAAGGAAGCTCCCCTCTTCTGTTGCCTTCTCTCCGATTCTGCTCTGCCTCTGCCCCAACCTTGAACGACACGACTCGGACGTCTAATAATATCTACCTTACACTCTTCCCCCCCCCACCTTGAACCTCACTCTGACATCTTACACTCTCTTTCTCTCTTTGCTCTCTCCCCGCACGCTCTCCCTCCCGTCTACTACAAGCTCATCATGGCATCTGAAGGCGATTCCCCCGCGCGACCCCGCGTCTTCTTCGACATCTCCCTCGGCGGCAAGCCCGTCGGCCGCATCACCATGGAGCTGTACGCCGACCTTGTCCCCAAGACGGCCGAGAACTTCCGCGCCCTGTGCACCGGCGAGAAGGGCGTCGGCAAGTCGGGCAAACCCCTCCACTACAAGGGCTCCATCTTCCACCGCGTCATCAAGCAGTTCATGATCCAGGGTGGTGACTTTACTGCTGGTGATGGTACCGGCGGCGAGTCCATCTACGGCAACAAGTTTGACGACGAGGCCTTTCCCAAGAAGCACGAGCGCCCGTTCCTCTTGTCCATGGCCAACGCCGGGCCGAGTATGTTTCAATGATACCCCGCGATTACTTGTCACTAACCCCTCCATAGACACCAACGGCTCCCAATTCTTCATCACCACCGTCCCCACCCCCCACCTTGACGGCAAGCACGTCGTCTTTGGCGAGGTCCTCAACGGAAAGTCCATCGTCCGCCAGATCGAGAACCTCACCACCCAGTCGGGCGACCGTCCCGCCAAGGAGGCCCTGATTGCCGACTGTGGTGAGCTCAAGGGTGACGCCGCCCTCGCCGCCGACGTCAAGCAGCCCGACGCCCTCGGTGACCCCTACGAGGACTTTCCCGAGGATTGCACCGACACCCTCGATGCCCCCGCCGTCCTCAAGATCGCTGCCGCCTGCAAGGACTACGGCAACACCGCCTTCAAGTCTGGCAACTTCTCTCTCGGCCTCGACAAGTACCAGAAGGGTCTGCGTTATATCAACGAGGAGCCTGAGCTTGACGGCCAGCCCGACTCGCTCAAGGCTGAGCTCGAGGCTCTCCGCTTCTCCCTCAACAACAACTCGGCTCTGCTCAACATTAAGCTTGAGGCTTGGGACGACGCCGTTCGCGCCGCCTCTTCTGCCCTTGACGTCCGCGGTGTCAAGGACTCTGACCGTGCCAAGGCTTTCTACCGCCGAGGCTTCTCTTACATCCGTCTCAAGGACGAGGAGACTGCCCTGCGTGACCTGGCCCAGGCCAGCGAGCTTGCCCCCAACGACCCCGCCGTCACCAGGGAGCTCAACGCCGTCCGGACCAAGGCCGCTGCCCGCGCCGCCAAGGAGAAGGCCGCCTACAAGAAGTTCTTTACCTAAAGACTTGATGATTCTTTTTTGCAAAAGACGAAGAAAAAGATATAGAAGGCGCCTCCGTTGCCGAGGGAGGGAGGGAGAGCAAGCATTAAAATCGGCGATGTTTTGAGAGACGTAACATGGAAGGGGGGGAGGAAATCCATCTTTTTTCAAGTTAACAGCACCTTGTCAGGGACAGCGGGTAGGAGTCGGCGCCGAATGAGATACCATCCAATTACAATAAACCACATTCAAAGACTCGTTTCATGTTCAATGTCTAGTTGTGAGTTGTGAACTTGTTTCTTATCGACGCGTCTATGGATACATGCACATAAAGATATATATATCCGTCCCTTGATAGTCACAGCTCCAACAACTTGGGCATCACAAAAGACATGCTCCGTGTCTGTTCTTTTTTGTCTATGGACCGAGGTACACCAAATAACCACGCCCCAAGTTTCCCATCCCAAAAAGTCTTTCTTTGACTACCTTGATTCCATGCAAAACCTCCCATCTCTTTCTATTCAACCATGACGCGAGAAAAAACTGCACCGAAAGCAACAAAAGTGGTATTCCCCCTTGCCTCACCAAGCCACCCGTGGCAAACATAACAATAATAAAAGGTGTAAACATTGCTTCTCGTTTCAACCTCATGCACCCTTTTGCTTTGCCCTCTATGGGTGATATCAGGGTGACGCACGAGGTGAAAAGGGAGTCAATGTCCCAACCATACAAAGGAAAGATAAAAAACGCCTCGCATGCGAGTAAAATCATGTTTGCCAACCTCCCCGTATCCCCACATCCCAATGCTCGTGTTGTTGATATAGGAAAAAAAAAGGTGTGGAAGGGGGTATGAGACAAGGAAAAAAAGGGGGGAATTGTGTGTGTGTGTGTGTGTGTGTGGTATAAAATGGTCCGTTCTTCTTTCTTCATCATCAAGTCGTGAGGTTGTAGAGAGAACTAGCTCTCCATCATGCTGTTGTAGTGCAAACTGTCATGTCATATCCCTTCACTTGTTGTTCCGTGGCTCCTTGGACTCGGGGCTTTCTCCGCGGCCGCCGATGCGCATGATGCCGCTGAGAATGGTGCGTCCCATACGTCCGTTTTTGGCCTTGAGCGTGCTGCTGGCGCTCGCGCTCGCATGCCGCAGACCACCGGGCTTGCGGTGCTCCCAACCCTCTCGGTGGTGCCGGCGGTGTTCCTTGCTGCGTCGACGACTACGTGTCGCCGTGTTGTTGCTGTTGTTCTCGTCGGCCACTTCGCTGCCAGAGCTACCTGGAGTAGGTTCGTAGACGTCATTCCAGGCTGTGGATGAGCCACCATACGAGATGGAGAGCGACTCGATCAGGGATGCCTGTTCCATAGACTCGGTCAGGTCGTCTGTGGCTGCGTATGAGGCGCTTTCGTGAGCGCGCTCCGTCTCGACCTTGGCCAAGCAGGCATCGGCACGTTGCTGTAGAGCAAAGCAGACGTCGTTGAAGGCGAGGAGTTCGTTATCCACCTCGTCCTTCTTGTCGTCAATCGGGTTTGCGTCCACCCAAAGCTTCACCAGACCAGCCAGGTTCCTTGTGTCGTCAATCAGGTACGGAAGGCTCGGGAAGCCCTCCTTGGAGGTGGGACTGAGTCGGCCAAGGATGGTGACGGGCGTGCTGTAACCTGCGGGAACAATGATTGCGTTACGGTCTGCAGGGATGCTGCACACCTGATCGATAAAGTCACGGACAGCTTGTCGCTGTACATTCAAGAATCGATTCATTGGCTCCATCCACTCCTCTCGCTTGCCAAATGTCGACAGGTTCGCTAGCTTCTGTAGGGCCTTCGCAATGAGAGTGAATGTTCGCTGCGCTTGAGGTCGAGGGTGGTCGCGCAGAAGATTGAACAACTTTGGTGACAAAATCGCCGGGCAGATGAACCGTAGGAACAGGAATCCAGAAACTGAAGTATACGTGACGGTACGGAGAAAGTCACCGTAACGATCTTCAGCAACAGCGCGGATATACTTGAGAACATGTCGTAGCTCAGGGGGGAGTCGGTTGGCCGAGCTGGAGATGCATTTCCACACCTCGGTCGTGTAGTGGATCAGTACAGTCCAATGTTGATCAAGGTCTCCCTCATGGGGGGTCTTGCTGGGGTCCACTTCGCAGTTCGGGTTGATCTCGTTAATCTCAAAGAGCTTCTCTTGTAAGATGTCTTCCAGATACTCCTTGCCCAAGCGTCTCATGTGAAACTCGAGAGACTGGGTGAGCAGCGAATTGCCTCGGAAAAGAAGGTTGGCCTCTCCAGCAAGAGACTTGCTCATATCTCGTACAATGAGCTCCCGATCGGTTCCCGAGTCGATAGAGTCGTTTGACTTGAGCCGGCTGCTAAATCGATACTTTTTCATCGAAGCCTGGTTTCCAATGCCATCGATTTCGTCTTCTACCAAGGCCATCAGCCACTCACTAGCAGATCCTGAAACCTGAAAGATGTTGAGGAATAGCTCCGATAGTCGTCGCAGTTGTCCCGGTAGAGCCGCAGAAACCTGGTTCGTCAAGCCTGCAGGGAAGCGGTGAAGTATGTCCGACAGGGGCTGGTATTCTTTTGACAAGAGTACGACGTGTTCATCGTGTGTCACTCTGATCAGCATTTGTCCAACCGACTGGTGCTTCTCGTCGTAGATATGAAGCCATTGCTCAGTATCTTTGCCGCGCTCCAGCTGTTCAAGTGCAATGTCAACAGCACCAACCACAAACTCTTGCAGGTTTCGAGTTCTGGGAAGTCCCACAGAAGCTTGGAGGAGATTGCTCGAGCTGTCAAGATTGCCCTCCACCCTCTTCAACACAACAGATAGCAACGGTGTCGTTGGAGGCAGATCGGTAAACTCGCACTCCTCACGCCAGAATGGATTCTTGGTCGCCGTCTTGGTCGTGGTTCTCGCACGAACTTCGCCATCCAGTATAACTTCGGCTAGGTAATTGCCGACCAGGGGATCCGGCTCCGGACGTCCCGGCCTCTCTGGTATGGGTGTTTCAAACCCACTCGGCTTGGCCTTGATCTTGGCTTCTGTAACCCTGACGCTGATCGTCTTTTCGAGCCGAAACACCTCGCCCTCGTATTCTGATTCTAGATCGTCCAGCTCCAATATTTGGGAGGCGTTGGGGTCATCGAGCTTGTAGATGTCCGGCACTGCATATGCTCTCAGGAGGCAAAGCCAGACCTCGAAATGAACTCTGCTATCGAGAGCAAGGTAAACTGGCCGGAAAATGGAAAGATGTGTTGAAGTCGATGCGTATATGGGGAAGACGGCAACGCAGTATTCCTCATCAAGCACTGTTCGGTCGAGCTGCTGGACGGCACATCGTGAGAGTTGTGATAGGTCGATGATGGACAGAACAGTAACGTCATTCTCCGTCAGCAACTTGAACTCTCCATTATCCTGCAGAATGCACGACACTCTTCTCCACGAGGTAGTCGGTGAGCGAAGATCCCTAGTCGACGGCCGCTTAACGATCGCCCGGGGTGAGACGGCGAGGCCCTTGTCCCACAGCATAACCTTTCCAACCTTGATGATATTCGTGGGCCTGTGCTTTTCTTGTGACCAGCCATGTCTCCGCAGCTCCGGTCTCATCGGCGATACCTGGCTGGCTGGTTTACCGTTGGTGAGCTTCACGCCTGTTGGGCGTAGTTGTTGCCAGCAGAGCAAGGCCGCCAGCCACAGATCAAACTCTTCCGTCACCAGAGGGCATATTAGAATTTCCACCGGAGGTTGGAGACACACCAGCTCCAGACACTCCTTGGTCAACTCAGGATAATCCACGGGTAGGACCCTGCAGCCGCGCAGATCAGATACCAGAGGGATATGGAACGGGCCGTTCTGGCCCGAGTCAAACATGAGACATCCTTTTTCCTCCTCGATATAAGCCACGCCGCTGTGCCATGGTCCTCCCGTCTCACCCTGGTACTCGATTTCACCGCGCATCCGGCCACATAGTGTTCTCATTAAGAGGAGAACCTTGTTTGCGTCGTCGGTGGCGATGGGTAGCGGTAGCGAGTCGACTGTCGGCGGAGGCGAGATAAGAGGAGAGGTGGGACGAGACGATTGCCGCTTCATAAGTCTTCGGCTATTTTTCTTATCCTTGGCGGCTGCTAATGATTCCCGCACCGAGATAGCACCATGGTGCAGTGAGTCCAGCGAACCGGACTGTAGCTTTGGTTCGTCTGTAGGATGTAATGATCCCGAGGAGCTTACGCTACCAACGCGATGTCGTTCTGAGGTAGGAGGTACGCTCCTCTGGGCGAGCATCGAGGTGTCCATGGTGCGCGTCCTAGGCCGCAAGCTCCCGCTCGTATGCCGTAGATGCCGCGGGGGACTGGATTCGCTGCTCTCATACGATTCACTAAAGACATCATTGAATATCATGCCCTGTCGCCTCGAGGGGCCCGAGGGAATGGTCCGCGGCGAGCTCTGCTGCGAAGTCGCTCCACGGGAGGATTGCTGAGAGTCCCCAGAGACGCTGAGGGTCGGTGGCTCGACGGGTTCGGGGGTGACTGCACGAATGGTGCCGGCGGCGTTGATGAGGGTAGATCGAAAGGCGGACCTCAGGTTGGAGGCGCTGGAGCGCTCCATCTTGGGGTCGCGCGGGGGGTTGAGCTCGGAGCTCGAGGTCTGATTCCAGGTCAGAGAGTCGCTAGAGGCGCCAGGTCGTAAGTGGGCTTGTCCGTCCATATCCAGCGGTGGCAAGCCTATGCCATTGCCGATCCACATCTGCATGCGCACGCTCGTCCCGCATTGAAGACCTGAGGAGGAGGGAGGAGGAGTCGAAGAAGGCGGCGACGATGGTGGGCTGAATGTAGGTGTGGATGGTGCTTGTTCCTCGGGTCAGAGTGCGGTGCAGATGGCGTATAGGTGAGGTTGTATTCGCTATCGCGCGGGGTCTGACGGGTCTCGGTGGTCGGCTATCGATGTCGCAGCGGCAGAATAAAAAAGAGGTGTAAATTATCGCAGTCTTCTTCGTTGCCGGGTTGTTGAGGAAGAGGTCCAAATGGCACAATCACCGGTTGCGGGGAGGAGGGCTTAGTCTCGGCAGAGAATGTAAAGCTGAGGGGAACGCGCGGGACCGGCAGCTGAGCATGCTCATCTGCACTGCACGACGGACAGGACGGGACAGTTGTGATGGATGGATGGCAAGTTCCGAGACCAAACCAGATCAGATGGGACGAACAAGAATACGCGTGCGCGCTCAGATAAAATGGTCGTCGTCAGGTGGTTTTAAGAGGGATTGAAAATGTGCGGTGAGTGGCCTCGAACTTGTATGATACAGCACAGAACAGTACTGGACCGGACTGGGACTGGGGGACCACGGGAAGGGAGGGTAGAAATTACTACATCCCGAGGCCAGGCCCGATGAATGGATCAAATTGAATCCAATGTGAGCGAACGACGGGAGTTGGGGTCCGTGGGCGTGGGTTTGGTTCGGTTTTTGACCCGTAGGTAGCCCAGGTCCAGGTCGCCACACACGCACTTTCAGTAGCTTCAGTCGAGGTACGTTTCAGCGCCAGTTGACGGAGCCCATGGATGATAGGATGGGACAAAAACCCACAGTCAAGCAAGCACAGGCTCAAGCGCAGGCACCGGGATTCCAGCCACCCCCGGACGGGACGGGACAGCTCTTGTGTAGATGCTTGGGTAGTAAGTCAGTCTGGGTCTGGTGTGAGTGTGAACAATGCCCTTGTTAGGTTTGTTGCCCAACCGAAGCCAACTGCCGGATTGAGCAAGACTCGAAGTGATGATGTTTATAATAATTCCAAGAAGCAAAAAGAAAGCAAAGAAGGAAAAAGAAGAGAAGAAGAAAAAAAGCAGAATATCTCCTCGACTTGCTTATTCCGTCTTGGCCTGGCTTCGAGAAGCGGGGGAACACAGCGAATGACGGGTTTCCTGCCGATCACACAAGGGACTCCAATGGAACGCCATGCAGCCCTCTTTGACTTTTTTTTTTACGCCTGCTCTGCCCAGAAGCTTTTTTTTCCTCGTCTTGTTTCTCTAGAAACCCTTTCTGCTACTGTTCCACGCTTGGAGGGGGGAAAAACAGGCGAGCGAGGGTAGCCCCCGAGACACCAAGGCGGGCCGTAGCGAGATGCTTGTCTAATTATCTAGTGGTTTTTTTTTTAATGAATAACCGGCGAGTCGCAGTAGAAACACAGACCGGAACAGGACACCCACACCAAGAAAGGATCGCTAGCACCAAGGACGACGTTATCGTAAAAAAAAATTGACCGGGGATAAGAGAGCAGTGGAGGGGGATGAGGAGGAGGCACGCACCAAGAAGAGGCCCTGGTCCCAGTTCCCAGTGGAGAGGTGGAGCTTGGAGATGGAGCACTCTTGTTCCATCCCCTTGCGAATTGGACGAGGTTCCTCTGTGACTACAATTGTAAAGTACTCTTCTTGCATTGACTTGGCGGAGCTTTCTTTCCTTTCCCATGGATCACATCAGCAGTCAAAACCCCTGAGGCCGCCAGATCGAGCCCTGAGATGAGACGTCTACAGGCAAAAAGTATAGAATGTTCCGTCAGCCCTTCTTGTTCGTTCTTGTGCCCACCACTTTTAGACACCGCCCCTCCGGGTACTCTAGCCACTCACCTCTCGCCAAGCAACCCTTTCCCTTTGGACGAGGTTTCATCCCATGTCGCCTGTAAGCCCAGTTTGTTTCTCAAGAGAGGAGCCCACGGCATCCGCCGCCAGTGGGGGATGCTACCGTCTTTCGTCACGGAGCAGGGATCCCTCGGATGGTTTCTTCCCCCTAGTAAATGGTACTCAATGCGTGAAAGATGGGTCGAAAGAATAATCAGCAAGATTTGCCATGAAATCCGTGATAGAATGCACGTCTTATTATTGCAGAGGCTTTTACCCCCCTGGCCCCAGCTCACGAGGCAGGCCGTCTCTCGTGCTAAGACGAAATCCTAGAACGGCCACGGGGGCCACCGGGAACAAGGGACCAAAGCCCATCATCGTCCATGGCCAGGGATCCAATCTCAACGTTCACTAGCCTCCAGCGGGATGGGAGAGGGTCGACTCGACCCGCGTTGAGTTACATGGTGATTAGCCCAACTGACTCTGACAAGAGCTACAGAAACAGGGCAAAAAGAGCGCTCGGACGTTGAAGAATCAAGAAAAGAAAAGAAAAAGAAAAGAATCCTCTAGACGGGGTAAGATGTGATTCTTCCCCGATTCACGCAGGAACAGGTCCGTTTATGATAATCGTGCCTCTTCTTGCTTCTGTATCTCGCACTCAGACTTGAGCAGCCGCTAGCGGGCAGGGCCTTTTTCTTTTGTAACATCGGCTCTTTTCCTCCGTCTCTTGTCAGTGGTCAGCAAGGAAAAGTCAACCCGGTCATCTTTTGACTAGCACCGGTTCTCACGGGCGATTTGATTTCCCCAAGATAATATCACTGGCCGCGATATGCGCCCTTCTTGTCGGGCAAAAAAGAAAGCAGTTGTCGGGCCTACCCTTTAGAGCCCAATGGTAGTCTCGGCATTACTCCTGGCTAGTAGTAGCTGGGTGGCCTCAAAAGCCACGAACCTGAACCGTCTACTATGGATGGTCAGCCTCAACTCCAGCTGTCACTCACATTATCTCCTCCTCTCGTGACCAGTGAGCCCAATGGAGCCTGACCCTATCAAATACGTAGATACATGTTCCAAAAGCAATGATGCTAATCTCCTCAAGATCTTGCAACAGACAAGAGCACAGTGTCTAAATCACCTCAATCAACCCCTGAAGAAGATCCAACAAAGCCACGCGACAAGAAAAGGACACAAAAGCTGTTGGCTCTGTCCTGTCCCGCCAGCATGGAACGTTCCCACGTGTCGCATCTTGGAGAAAAAAGGGCCTCAAATCTTGCTTTGAGGGATCTCACAGCTGCCAGGGGTTCTCCCCTTTTTCTGCATTTGCTTTTTTAAATACAGAAAGAATGCTACTGCAGCAATGCAGAGAGCTACATTTACGCGAGAGCGCATCTTCCCGCTCAGATCCTTATTTTTCTTTTTATTGCCACGGTTCTTTTCATCCGGTTTTTTTCTTACTTTCCCCCTGATCATACCTAACCGTGTGATATTCCAGCACCGAGACAAGCCAGGGGGTGTTTAAACTCTTCTTGTTGCAAGGAACATACACCCAACAAGGGACGACGAACCAATTACTGGGGTTTCCTAAACATAGATTTTTTTCCCTAGCCCACCTTGTCCCAGAAAACAAAGAGCGGGCGGGCCCATGTTTGCCGTGAAAGAGGTCCTGGGCAATTAAGCACAGCCCATCTCTCGACCCAAGAGTTGGCGACATCAGTTCATACAGTAGGCAACACACAGGCAACCAGAGGCCCATACGCAAACCAGCTTACAATTACACACCGCTTCACAGCCTCAACTGTGCTCCTGTTCCTGGCGTCCGCCCCCAACATGTCCCTCCTGAGAGAGAGACCCAAGATATCCATGTCTCATGTGGTGCCACACCACCGGTTCCAGCCCACCCCGTCATCCACATCATGAAAGGCAAGTCGAAATGGGCGTCATCTGCTTGCAACATGGCATGCACGGCTACGAGTAAACTCGGCATTCCGTGTAATCGCGGAGCCCTTGACCCGGGACGAGAATCTCCCTCATAATCTCGGCAAACACGAACCCCTCCCCGTGTCTGCTCGAGACTGATGTACCCGTGAATGGTGCTTTTTTTCTTTTATTGTCGTCAGGTTTCAAAGTATAATATCATTTGTGGCTTTTACGGATCAAGCCTCAGCTGTCAGAGATGAGTGATAGACTCGACGGTCTCGCCGTCCGAGCCAACTTCCTCATGACATGTCTACAACAGAGTCAATTCATCAGCCTCGGCTGTCATGTCGATATGTCGTCACGATTCCGCCGCAGGTGCATATATCTCGCCTTTCGAAGCTGTAGTCTCGGAAAAGGACGTGGTTGTACTCATTTTCTGTGACGAGGGAAATCCCTTGTTGGCGTGCCAAATATGATATTGGATACATGTGCAACATGCGTCTGTCCACCACCGTCACCATTCCCCCTTTCCACTCCTTTGCTATGAACTGCAATCGAGGTAACGCAAAGAAAAGTCGGCCGTTACCTCACTGCCATCACAGTCTCCCTGACGAGACCGCTTTCGGAGGAATAAAGACGTAAAAGTAAATTGACGAATTGATTGGACCTTGAACCATCACCTTTCATCTGCAGAATATTTGCAGTTTCCATGATAGCAAAGCACAAACAAAGACCAAGAAAAGTATAACATGTGCGTAATCCCGGTAGTGCGCGTAGAGTATTTCGACGCCTAACGAACTTTCTCTTCCAACTCCCAATTGCCAGATTCCAGAGTCCCCGGTGCTCGATCGATCCCTATCAAAATGATGATCCCCGTGGGGTATCGTGGTTGAAGTGAATAATGTGAAGTGAAATCACCAAATAGTAAAAGTGTTGCAGCTGCTGTGTGGATATCATCTCGTCTCCCCTAATCTTCTCCATCTCATATCACCCTTAACGAAGGTTGGATCCCTCGATCGGGCTTGTGGGATGGCTGCGGACATTGCTCAGATCGGTGCTACCCGTCCGTCGGAGAGCTTGGCTCATGGTCTCGATGTTGAGGTCGTTTCCACCAACACTGAGCTTGAGGTTGGCCGTGCTGGTGGGACTTCCCAGAGGCTTGCGAGGCGGGCTCAACTCAATACCCTTCATACTACCAGGGTTGCTTGTGGGAGGGCTCTCGGGTCCCTGGCTCGATACTGGGGATCGGATGGGCGAGGGAGATCGGTTGACCGCTGCTGGCAGAGACGTGAGCCCTGCGAGGTGGATGCTGTCACGGGAGCTCGCAACGCCCGCGGGAGGGTTGTGCTCGGCCTGTACAACATCGGCAAACGAGATGAAGGATAATCGGCGGACGTCGGAGGAGTCGAGAGACCCGTAGTTGGAGGCGTTGTCGGCCGAGACAGCATCTCGATCGGCAAAGGAAGCGAGCTCTGCTGCCCACTCACTGGCCGACTGGTCGTACAATGGAAGGCCGTTGTTGGCCCCCGTAACCGTCACGGCGGCGGGTTGATGCGAGCTGTGCGTCACAATCTCCACCGTGTCAGGGTCAAGCTTCTCATTCGTGATGGCCTCGGATGCGTCGTCGAGCACGGGGGGGATGTAGTTTTCGGTCTGGATATGTGTCGGGATCGCCGGGGAGTTCGGCTTCAGTACGGTGCTATCCTGGACATCACGCTCAAAGATCTGTGACGTCGCAGGGGAGGAGAGTCGTGGAGAGCCGCTGAAGCCGCGGCCCGGAGACGAAGGCAGGACAAAGGCCTGGTCGCTGGGCGCGCTCCACGCTGTCGACGAGAGCTTCGAAGCATCCCGGGACATCAAAGGCGGGCTCGCGGCGGCCGAGTTTGAGTGTGAGGGAGTCTGAGACTGGGACTGGGACTTGGGTTCAGATTGGGATTCGGATTCGGGCTTGGACTCGTTCTGGGACTCGGATTTGGTGAGAGACGGTGTCTTTTTCTTGCCGAAACCAAAGAAGCTACGCTTCTTGCTCTTGGGATCCTTCTTAGCGTCTCCCGTTTGGCTGTCTGGCTCCGTCATGAAGTCGCTAGCTCGAGGTGTCGAGTCGCCTAATCGCTGGTCGTCGGCGGCATCGACAGGGGCGTATGGGTCACCGCGGGTGATGGGAGCTGCTTCGGCGAGGCTCATGTTGATGGATGAGCCAACGTGTAAAACAGCGAGAAACGATGACGGTGGCCGTGGTTGAAGGTGCGTGGCAGGAACTTTTGGCCGTGCAGAGAGGAAAGTTGTCTGGGTGACTGGCTGGGAAACAAGGTTGGGTTAGTGACGAGGGTTGGGAATGCAGATCTGGGTCGGCAAGCGAGAGGAGCAACGAGCCGGGACAACAACAGAGAAAAAGACCAGGAGGAAAATCTCGAAATAAAATATCACAAAAAAGTTCTGTCAGAGCGGCCGTGCGGCACTGAGACCTAGAGTGACGCTGCCCTTCAAGGACGGGAGAGACATTGAATATTAGATGCTGCACATACCTAGAGGCTGTGACCTGTAACAGTCCGTAGTTCCCGATCCAACACTCGAGGCAGGACCCGCTGCGGCCAGCGCTAGTTGTTAGGGACCAGCTAATCACGGCAGTGCCGTTGTCCGTTCTGCCGCCGTCTTTTGCTTTGGGCTTGCTGGGTATCGAGGTCCGGAAGGGGGAGCCACTCTCGGAGGGACGAGTGACGCAATCAGGTTAGGTGGACGGCGGTCGGGACTTTCGAGGTTCCAGGTCGATCAGGTCAACGACAAGGAGAGAACTTGTGAGATCTTGGGCGTCGACGAAATCCTCGGCGGATGCAGCCCAGGTTTAAAAGCCAGACAGCCCCCGTGAGATAGCGTGTGGATTTAGTGGATGCGAGCCTCAGAGGGCAGGGCGGCTGAGACTGCTGGGCGCGCTATTGCTGCGGCAAGGAGCCGTTAACTCTTACGGAGGGCGAACGATGCAAAGGTTTGTTGTTGTTGTGTTGTTGCTTCTGCTGATTGTCGCTCGCTTCGTCAGCGACAGGGTTTTCTTATTGTCTGTTTGCCGTCGTGTTAAGGGAGAAGAAGGGTTAAGAGACGGGAGTGAGAGAGGGAGGGGGAAGAATTGACGGGAAGGGCAGGTAAGGCAGGTAGGGGCCCGACGGCGTAGGTGGCTTTGGAACGTCGAGTCTCGTCAACCTGTGTGTGCTCTGAAGGATCAGCGCACCTCAACCAAGGCACGGGATCAAACGTGTAGCGGCAAAAGATTGCACTATCAAGGCCACTATGGGGCAACTGTGAGTCGTACAGGAAAGTGATAACCCGTCAGGCCTGACGAGAGATTTAATTCCAGAGCTCGAGCTTTTGAGCACGAGACGAGAACATGCGGGCGCCACGAGGTTCCCGACAACAACACCATTCGAGCATCACAAAAACCTGCTTGGAACCAGCGTCTAGGCCATCATACTCGACGTCCAATGCTTCTAGGCCCAGCCCAGTTCAGACTCGGCTCGCGTTTTACAATTCCACCGCTCTCCAATCCTCTGTTGGCCCGCTGCGCCTTGTCCATGTCCATGCCCTACTCTTACATCTTCGGCACAGCACTGCATGAATTGATATGCATAGGTTGGACATGGGAGCATCTCGTCAAGCAAGTCATGCAAGGCAAGGCACAGCGCACATCGCACAGCCAACCATGCCTCGCCCAATATCCCGTGGAACCCATCCAAATGAAAAAAAGCCAGTGCCGTCCCAAAAAGCAACAACGGAAAGAAATGGGCCACGACTGACTCCCTATCTCAGATGACCCCGATCCGATGGGCTGAGATCGGGCTGGGTCGTCGCGTTATGCCTCACCTGTGTTGCGCTGTGCTCCGTTGCCAGCTTCTGCTTACACACTCACACAGCCTCGACAACATGCGGTTTCTATTCCAGTACCTGATGCTTTGCTCATCATTCCTCTCCATGTCCCAAGGTGCATCCTCTGCCCTGTTCTCCCCTACCCTGCCCTCCTTGTTGATCCGGTTGGGCACTATCGGTCATCTTGGTCACATCCCTCATCACATCCCCCCTCTCCCGCCGTCACCAACCCGGCGACAGCCCCGCTACCAACTATGACCTCGTGACAACTCCCTCAGGGCTCTCGCTCATCCTGCCCTGACGGAACAGCACAGAATAGGCTAATAAGGGGCAGGATCCGCTGCCCGCACATGCTGGCAGCCGAGCTGAGTTGCCCACGAGGGGCCCAAGAGGGAGCCTGCCCTGCTTATCCCTCGTTTACAGTAGTTTGCTTTTGGCTCCCGAACAACATCAACAACAACAGAGAAGGTGACATCTCAGGCACATTATTGGGCTTCCCCATCTGTCACGGTCCCCCGGGCTCTCAAGCAGAACCCTTGCCAGAAGGCCCCTTTTCCCCTGCCGCAATTCGCCACCGATAAGGGGCCGTTTGCTTCCCCGTCTCCCAACTTCCTGGGGACAGCAGATCTTGCTTGATTGACCAAATGAAACAAGGGCCTCGTCAGCTTTGGGATGCGTGAATGCGTGGCATGCGAGCGGGAAGGTCAAGCCACAGAGGGGTTCAGTAACCAGCCACCGAGGGGCTTTGCTGGTCTCGACGTCATCGGCCCGCTGGTCCTGAGCTTAGCTTCAGCCCGTCGGAGCGTTCGTGACTGTCATGTGACTTTGCTGCTGATCATCCACGTGACCGTCTCAAGTCCCAAATGTTAGGTCAGCGGAAACCTTAGGTAAGCGTAGTGGCAGAAACTTCAGATCTTCGACTTCAATGTGCTCGTGAGGGTCCAGCTGCAGACCGTACGAAAGTCAATTGCCGCGGCCAATCGCCCTCAGCCCGGTTAACGAGGCTCTTGTGAGAAGTTGTCATCCTCGTCAATCCTGTCACTACTTCTCCTTCCTACCACTCGTCTCGACTCCCCGACGACACTCGACTTCATCGGCCACAATGGAGTTCCGAAGCCTCGCCCGACCAGCCGCTCGGCTGCTCAAGTCCCCTGCCTCAGGGCTCCCTCTCATTCCTAGCCGTGGCCACAAGACGACGGCTCGAACGAAGCGGTCACTCAAGATTGCCCCTCACGAATCCTTCCAACCCGACCGAAAGACCGCCTTTCCCGCCGCCGACTCTATCATCTACAACCCCCCCGCCTCCGAGGCTTCTCCCCTCCACACGCCATTCCTCTTCCTCCCTCCCAATGATGCGCGCCGAGCTGCCATCACACGCCTTCGACACACTCCCGGCTCACCTGTGGCCCCTCCCGCCGAAGGCAAACTACCTCCAAAAATGAACTATCCTCGCCGAGACCCCAACTACAACCTCAAGGCTACCGATATTCAAGAAATGAAGAGACTACGGGCGGAGGACCCTGTGACCTGGAGTGTCAACAAGCTTGCCGAGAAGTTTGGTTGCTCAACAATCTTTGTCAAGATGGCTGCGCCGGCACCTGCGGGACATCTCAAAGCCCTTCAGGCCAAGCAAGAGCGGAGGGAGGCCAGGTGGGGTGCTATCCGGACCAAAGCAAGGGAGGACCGCAAGCGGAGGACAGAGATGCTTTACCGCGGCGAGTTGTAGAGAAATTATTACCGAATACGCCATCAAGGGCAGCGCGGCGCAGCATAGGTGGAACGGACCTGTACAAACATACGAGACCGTCCGGGGCACGTGTAGGATTATGTGTGGCGTGAGGAAGCATGGAGAGATGCGGATCTTTTGGAGCCCGGGCCGCATGGGCAAAATCACTTTGTATAACTGCCAAATACCAAGAACTCCCCCAAATGCAAGCAAACAGCCTTGTGTATTTTACCCCTATCGCCAGGGTGTCTTGTCACCCCGCCACCACGTTATTATCCATGGATCTTGTATGCCATTTGAATCCGCGAGAGCCCTCTTTCTACCAAAATCAACCTATACGTAACTGCTGTATTTAACAGCAAAATTCATGCACCTTCAAGGTGCACGTGGATCCACCATATACTTTAAAAATGTCCACTAAATGTCTTGCAGCTCACCTCGACTCAGCTTGAACTCATTCGATCTCGTGGTAGACGTCGACGTTCGACGACTGCCTCCTGAGCTCGAAGACGATGATGAAGGCGGCTCGTTGAGGTAGTCCTTTTCGCCGGGGATGACACGCCAGCACCAGCCGCACCAGCTTCGGCGCACACCCCGTACCTCTCGGCCCAGCACACGGCTGCCACTACCACGCTCGTCCTCCCACTCGGGGACACAATGACCAACGCGCACCATGCGGACACGTTTACGCTTTACGATACCGCCGATGCCCTCGATCTCGTGGCGCAAGTAGCCCGGGCCGAGGGACGGAGACGGTGTCCGCTCGTGGGTGAGGCGGAGCTCATCGATGAGCGCATCCACCGGCGCCGGGTGGGTCGTGCCGCCCGGAGTCGCAACGTTTCCGTCCCGGGCGTCCTCGGCGTCGCAGTCCAGCTGCTGTTCGCGCTCCTTAGCCGCACAGCAGTCTGCCTCACGGCCGCAGATGACGCCTCGGTCTCCCTCGCCGATACCAGTACCGAGACCTCCGAGGACCTCGCCATACTGGTTTCGCCAGCGCCAGATGCTGGAACCGTTGTTAGCTTTGCGCAACTTGGCCAGGGGATAATAGCGACATACCGTTGATATTCATGATCGGCACCGCGGATACTTCGTCCACATGGCTGACATAGCCAAACGCACGCGTCTGCACAGTTGCAAATCTGTCGCGACACAGCCTCTGAGGAGAGGGGAAGGTCAGGATCCAGAGGGGGTTTAGCGAGGGTTGCTATCGGGGCGTGGACGCAAGGCTTGCAGAGCCTCCTATGCCTCTCACGGAGAGCGACAGGAGCCGGTGGCTTGATGGCACAGTTCTAAACACGGCCGGTCAGCGTCTGCACTGCGGCCTAACAGCTTCGGCTGCTCACAGGCTCATGCACGTACCCTGCATATCACTTCGCCGCATCTACGGCACTCGCCAACCATGTCACGGGCGCAGTCGCCCGACTTGCCGTTGTAGCTGCGGCCATCCTCCATGTAGAACCAGTTGCCAGCGCGAGCGCGGTAGCGAAAGGTCTCGGAGCCATCTACGGGGATGCTCTCGTTACGGCAGTGGAGGGTGGAGGCAAGGAGGATGGTGCGGTACTGGAGAAGGCCATGATGGATAAGGCGACACGTGCGGGAGAGGGCATCGAGGGTGTTTAGGTCGATGGAGGAAGCGACGGCGACGGCGATGCTAGGTCAGGGGTCAGTATGAGGGTTATCATGACGAGACACAAGGCGCTGGCAACATCTCATGATGGGCGGGACGGCTTCAAGGAATGAACCATTGAGGCATTGGGCATCATAACAAAGAGAAAGAGGGCTCCAACTCACGGATAGATCTGCATCGCGTCCGTGACGGGCGCCCTGAAAGTGGAAGAGTCCATGGTGCCTATCGGCTCTGGGTTGTACAGGGAGTGCGACCAAGGTCCATTCCGGCCGTTGGCGGACAGCAGGTGAAGCTTCTTGAGCAGGAGGAGATGCTGCTCTTTCTGGGAGAGCTGCTGCAGCTGGGGGTCGGCGTCATGTTGTAACTGTAGCTGACCCGGCATCGGGACCGGCACGGGCATGGGCAAAGGCGGCGGCGCGGCGGCCTCATGATGAGCTCGGGCGCCCCCAGCACGAGGACCACCCGCAGGGCCCGCCCCAGCGTCTTCCTCTTCGTCCAAATCCACAAAGCGCGCCATGGCTGGGGCTAAATTTTGACTTGTCCCTTTCTTTCTTTCCCTTCTGTCTCTTGTTCCGTACAGTGTGAGCCCTGCGCTGTCGCGGTGTCTTTCCAAACCCCAGGATCTGATAAGTAACGGGGGCTTCCGAAGCTTGGCCGATGCAGCCCGGCGGTCGAGGCAAGCCGGGGAGCGGAAAGTAGCCGGGATAGAAAGCGGGACTTTTTTTCAAGCGGGCTAGAACAGGCGCAGGATAGGTGTGTGTGTGTGAGGAAGGGAGAGAAGAAAAAGATGGCTGCTTCGCCAAGAGAGAGACAATGTTTCTTTTTCCCCGAATCAAGTGTGACAGGCAAGGGTTTCGGCTGCTGATGGAGAAGGTGAGAAAGTGGATTACCGAGTCTTGTGAAGCGGGGAGAAAAGAAGAAACGGACGAGAGGAATCTGACGAGGGTTCTTCAAGATACAAGCATGGAAACAGCCATTGCGGCCAACGAGAGCTACAGCACAATCTGGCGATACGTCAAAGGCTCATAGATTGGTCTTCTGCCAATGTCAAGGGGGAGAAATCGGCGATTGCGAAGCCTGGCCCAATCTCTTCGTCAAAGGTGCGTCACTTGATGATGGCCCATCGAGAGTTTGCCGGTTCTGACGAGCTAGTATCTGTAGGGTAAGGTACAGTTGAACCGTGCAAAGAGCCCATCATGGATAACAGCTTCTCGAGATTGCCCCTCTTTTTGCTTCCATGGTGAGAAGCCCAGGAACCTTCCCGGTAAAGTGAGGTGCTTTCTTTCCCCTGTGATCTCAGCCCAAGCCAAGTGGGCCCGTGACTTTTGAAGTTTTCCGATTTTTCCTTTTGAGGTGCAACAGCATGGAACAACAGACCCGGCGGTCTGCGAGCTGCTGTAAGCCACTCTTTCTGTACATATGCTGCTGCCCCCGTGGCTATGCGAGAGCGCGGGGGTTTGAGAGGTTCCCCTGAGACTGGTTGCCCCACGCGTTTTTTCTCGTCATGAGACGAGCAGATTTCGCCTTTTGGTCTCTATGTTGCAATGCAGCCGGAGCAAGATGCGGCGTCACCTACCAGATCGCAAAACGAGAGCTTTTCTCGTTACGTACACCTCATTCCTATTTTGCTCTATTATCCGAGCAGTCCCAATAAATAGTGCGAGTTATTTAAGAAAACACGGCGCGTTGTTTAAAAAAGCGTCCGATCTCGGGGCGGTCATGACAATCGCATCTTATCAATCTAATCAATCTCTGGTACCGGCTTTCCCCAGACAGGAGCTGCTAATAATATCCCCCAGTCAGAGTTCCTTGGCGAGAAAGGTGCCCCCCAAATTTCTAGACTGGGATTGTTCTGTCTGTGGCGCTGTTCTACTCTTGACATTCTACGAGAAGTTTCCTTTTCTTCCGAGGATGTGGAGATTCATCTGAGAATGTTGGGTAGTCTAGCCTCGTTCAACCAAGAAGAATAAGTTGGGATGACACGTCTTCATTGTCCCATGTTTTGAGATTCCCGTCTTCTCTCTCGTTTGCCACTGTTCCCCCGTGCCCCCATCTGTCACCGATCCCCTTTCCTCCCCTCGTCCCTTAACGTTAACTGTTTCACTTGCCGCTTTGGTATATTTCTATTTCCCTTTCCCTTGATCTGCAAATATTCACCGCTGTTATTGAACACCCCGTCTCCTCTGAATTCGTCGTCATTGTTGAGCCCAGAACGCGTAACTGCATCATGAAGGTTCCATCTCAGTTAACATGCTCGAAACTCTCCGGCAGTCCAGTGTTAAGAGAGGAGCATCCATAAGAAACCCAATCCTATTTCCTCAACTATTAACATGAGATCAGGCAGTTGCGCATTCATGATGCGTGCCACCCCTTGCTAACCGTTTACCCTACGCCGCACACAAACATGTACTTCGGGCAAGTAAGCACGCTTTCTGAACCTACATGAAATGATTCCTGCTCATTCTGCGCACGCTACATCGCATAAACGTGACGACGTAATAGTTATCAACTTGATGAGCAAGGTGATAATTGGGGTTCTCTTATATCGGGTCACTCTCCGCTACAAGTATCGCGTTGTCATTCTTGAAGCAGTTGCCTTAAAGATAGGGAGTATGAAGGCATTCCCAATGGGCCGGCAGGCTTAATGTATCTTGTTAGCCAGGCTTTCTTCAGACCATGGCCTGTTGTTTCGGATCCATGCCGCTGTTACTCCGACTTGAGTAATTGCCAACTGCTTCCACTGGGGAGGTGCCCTATATTTAGTATTCTTTACTCGTATCGACTCAAATTTTGCTGTCTACTATAGGGATATACTGCTCAGAGTTGATTTCAATGCCATGAGTCACTAACAGCAATACTTGTTTGAGGAGCTACAAAGCCATGAGTTGCGCAAGTCTCGATCGGGGCACTCCTATCCATGCCTCTGGTATGAAGGGGCCACTCCAACTTCGAGTTTTACGAAATAATTTACTTATTTTCTCTTTTACTCATATTAGGTTTACTGGGAAGCTATAAACCACATTGTACAAGCAGTGGGCGGGGTGAAGGGTGCAATGTGAATATTGCCTTTCGAGGTGAGTGAGATGAAACTGCACTTGAATGAGGCGGGAGGGGGGGAATTGCTGACCAAGTATAGATGCTGGAGTTCAACAATTTACATGCAAGAGCGATTCCATAACGAAGCGAACGGCTCTATGAGCTTTGGCCTGAATGCTCGACCTGGACTTGCAGGGTGGTTAAAGAGGTTTCGGAACATGGAGTATGACATATGCCACAAATCCGAAAGGGAAGATCAGTTATCATATGTCGCAATCTAACTTGAGTTGGATTGCCCATCACTTTATTTTTGGTGCCATGCTTTGAGGCTGCTCATCCCACTGTTGGTTTGGGTCGAGTTGGGATGGAGGCTAATGCAGGAACGCGACCCGTCCCCAAGGACCGGGGTCTCGCCAAGCTGGACAGACTTGTCATTCTTGACTTTTGATCAATATCTTAGGGCCCCATTGACCTTGTATGTTGCCGACAACGTTGTCGTTGTTGACTGTTGCTACCTCGCTAACATGGAGCTCACCCT